CCCACCCTTACCACAGGTGACTTTTTGGATGAAAGTTTGGTCCATAATTTAGCATAGTAGTTTCTGTCTGTTGAATCCAAGAATTCACTCGTACTGGGAACAGGGGGCTTTCTAGGAAAGTCTTCAGATTTCGGGTGTGGTGGCTTCATATCTGGTGAGAGAAAGATAAATTTGTAAGTGAAAAGCATACAACAGAGTAAGTTTTCTGATGTGACAGCAATGCTTCCTATTTTATTTATCCAAACACATGAAACTGTACACTTAAAGTTTGTATGTTTCAACTTGAAAATAAATGAAATGCTTCTTACAATACTGATAATATTAACAAGTCATCCTATAGCATCCAGGAGGCACAATACCTTAGAAGGTAACCAGTGCTCAGCACAGGCTTGGTATTAGCATTAATGTAAAACATGTCAAAAACAATGGCTTTTAATATTTAAAATTACCTTTATTACATTCCATTTGACAAGTCTCCAAAAAGCTTAAGAAAAAATTAAAACATGCAATTCTAAGAAGCTTTAAAGTTCAATGGAACAAGACTCATTGATTCATAATTAATAACCAAGCCTTTCCTGAAAACATCAGACTGTGCAGAAGTGTAGAATACACTTACTCATGCAGATAGGTCCTGGGTTTACACACCTTTAAGATGTGTGGAAGCACCAAGCATTTCGGAGCATTGTTTATAAAATGCTAAAATAAACAACATCCCCACATACCTTTAGTTACTATGTTTGACTGAGCAGATGTGGGGAAACTACCCACCCAAAGGCAAAAGGGAGCATTGACGTATCGCTGAAATACGTTTTGCTTTTAATATACATGCAAAACAGAATCAGGAAAGAAAAACTTCTAGGTGAAGATGTGAAGTCAGAAAAGGGAATAGATGCCAAGAAGTCAGAGACACCAGGGTCTAAAGCTTGCGTCTCTGAACTAAGATGGAAGGCAAGGTCTCTGAGCTTGGGAAACAAGGCCTGGACTCTTGGATCTGGTGAGAAGCTGCAACGGGGTATCTGGAACTCAGCCTACAGACAGAAGAACTTTGGTATCTGGAACTCAGCCCGTAGGCAGATGAACTTTACACACAGAGCCTCACCAGCCTGAAAATAAAAAGCCTGTAAAAACACGAGACTCCAAGGCTCATTCTTAGAGTAATAACTTAACATGCACAGAGCCTTGGGTGCAATCCCCAGCCCTCATCAGCTGGGCACGGTGGCATCTACTTGTCATCCTGGCATTTAGGAGGGACAGATAGGAGGATCAGAAGTCAGCCTCAGCTGAAATAGAACTGAGGGCCAGGCTGGGCTGTATGAGGAGAAGAGAGGTGAGGTGGGGGGAATGAGGAGGGAGCTGGTGATAAAGAGTGGCCTCTCTGCTTCTGTGCTGTGTGCTAGGACCAAGCATGAACTTCAAACTGTGCTGGTCCCTAACCATTGCTGCCGCAAAGCGATCCTGGCTGGAGAATCTAGAATTCCACATTGCAGCACCTGCCTTCAAAGCAGAGAGTGAGTCACGACCGTGCAGTAGATGATCAAGCCTGTATCCCAAGAATTCTAGGTAAGGAGGGATCTTGAGAGGAACATTAAAGTAGCCATACTTATCACAACCAAACTGACCAAAAGGAACCACATGTGGGAACATCCTTTGTTATGTCTTCTTGATAATATGCATTCCGTCCACATTTACTGAACACCTACCCTACAGTGGATATAGCTCTGAATATTGGAGATGAAGCAACAAGCAGAAACTCCTTGACCTGTGGGGACTATGCTAAAGCTGGAGACAGACAAATAACACACTTTAAAATGTGAGGGAATAAAGACAATGAGGTCAGATAAAGGGACAGAAAGAGATGGCATGGTGGTCAAAGGAAATTCTCTGTAAGGTGGAGAGATTGTTGGGGGTTTAAAGATACAAAAAGATAAAACACACAAAAACCTTGAGGTTTGGGTGGTGAACACTAGGCAGGGAAATCAGTTTTATATAGAGAGCCAGAAGTGTAACTAGCTTGAGTATTAGCATTAAGAATTCAGTGTCTGGGAAGATGGGGCTGGACACAAAGACCCACAACTGGACAACATGCAGAAGGCAAGAGGCTTCAGCACCCTCTGTCCTAAATGGGTTTCCGTCAAATCCCTCCCCCTGGGGTTTGGGAACTCTGAGGAAGAGGGAGCCGAAAGACTGTAAGAGCCAGATGGGATAGAGGATGTTAAGAAAAGGACACACATGAATTCACAGAGACTGGGATCACAGGGATGCATGGGTCTGGGCCTGATGGGGTCTCAATGTTACAAGGGAACGTGGACACATGCCCCCATTCCTAACCCAGACGCTATCTCCCACTGAGTACCACTCATAAAGGAAAAGTCAGTTTTCTCCAATAGAGTCTCACTGGGTATACAAATCATGCGTGTGGGTGGGCCCCTGTCCAGCAGTAGATGGCCATCACAAATGAACTCGGTATTTTTAGAGGCTTTTTGTTGTTATTGTTTTGTTTCACAATGCTTTGCCTGGGCCCTTTTTTTCTTTACAGGTCTTTCGCTTACATATTATATTATATATTATTTGGTTTCCATTTTTTAATTTTTTTACGGATTTCTGTGCACGCAAATGTGTCTCTTTGCGGCTGTATATGTTTCATGTGGTTTTTCTTTGGCTCATTTGTTGTGTCTTATCCTTGTTTGTTTGTTTTGATTATTTTAGGTGCCCATTTATTTTCTAATGAGAGAAAGAAAGAAAGAAGGGAAGGAAGGAAGGAAGAAAGGAAGAAAGAGAAAGAGAGAAAGAATACAGACTTGGTGAGTGGGGAGACGGGAGGGATCTGGGAGGAGAAACCATATTCTGACTATATTGTATGCAAAAATCTATTTTCAATTAAAAAACAGAATTCACTGCTAAGGCTGGAGAGATGGCTCATTCAGTGTCTGCTACAGATGCATGAAAACCTGAGTTTGGTTCCCTGGTGTCCAACTAAAGTCTGAATGGAAGTAGGTCTGTAACCCTAATGCAGGGTGTGGGGTACTCAGACAGGGGGATCCCTGGTGCTTGCTGGTTGCCAGTCAACCCCTGCATGTACACACACATGCACACACACACACACACACATGCATGCATACACAATGTGTCCATATATACACTTTCCAGCAGCAGCCCCAAATTCACTGCAGCTAAGAAGATGTGTAATGGAGGTATATCTCATGCTTCTTTTCTCCCCCTATAAAATTCTTGTCCCATTGACTAGAACATTGTGGAAAAGACGAGATGAGTCTGAACAAATTGAATAAAACAAAAATTTAATTTTTAAATATAAATGCTCCATACTTTTTTATTACCTTTTCATCCACTAACAGGCATCTTTGGCTTGTTTTTAAGAAGGTAGTGTCAGGAACGGGTTACCCCTTCTGGAGCTGTTTCCCATAGGTCCCCAAACCTTAAGGGCTATTGCTCTTGTTCTTGGCTGCCCCTAGAACTCAGCAGTAAGACTCTATAGCTGAAGACACCACAAACTAAGTCAGAACATAGAGAAGTCAAGCTGTTGCTGACCTAGAAGATTCCTAGCTACTGGCAAGTTTTCATAGTGCTGGACGGTGTTATGCCCACTACCAGAGGAGAAAAGTAACTACCAATCCATTCAGCTGTGAACCCTGAGAGCTACAGTAATGAATAGCCTACCCAGGTACGCCAAATATTGCAATAGTGGCACAGATGTCATGGGAATAACCAACCTCTTTCTGGTTGGACTTAAGGCCTGCTCTTTAAGATAGAACCCATACCTGGTAATGTTTCCAGGACCTGTGGCTAGACAGATCACAGGACAGGGCAGAACCTACGACTTTACTTTGTTAAGTGGACAGAGTTGTAAGCTGACTCTAGGCGATTTACCACCATGCATTAGTTGTATCCCTCAAAGGTCAGAGGGATTAACCCAGAGACCCACAACCAGTCAAGACATAGAGAATAAGAGACTATGGAATCCCCATGTCACACTCACTCTTCCCAAGACTCAGGGATCACTGTGGAAGAGGGGAGGGGAAAGACGGTAAGAGCCATGGGTAGTGAGTGGCTAAAACAATAACAGTGTTTTCCAGACCCAAGAGAGCAGATGCACACATGAACTCATAGCGTCTGTGACAGCATGAACAAGTTCGAGACAGACAAAATCCAGGAAAGAAGTGGGGACAGACATGAAGTTCCAGGCACAAACTGAGGCACTACTCCAACAGGTAGATGCTGGGGGTGGGGCATGTCTTAAGGGTGCAGGTCCTAGTTGGTTGACTCTGTTCCAGATGACCACATGTCCAAGAGAAAAAACTAACGAGGACACAGAGTTGGGTGGGTATGGAAGAGAGTGTGGATCTGGGAAGGGTTAGGTGAAGGGAGGAGAATATGATCAAAGTACAGTGTATGAGACTCTCAAAGAATTAGCAAAAGTATTTTAAACATAAAAACTGGAGACTATATTCATTGAAATAACTGCCATGGAGAAGATCTATATACATACATTTTCTTACCTACTTGATCTTTTCTATAGAAATATACTATATATAAGCTAATTCAAAAGATGGCTTCCATATGGGCTCCTTTTACTAGCTTCCTAAGACATAAGCCATCTGTATTATGGTATAACAAAGAAACACTCAATCTGATGCTATAGTGCAACTGTGATTCCAACACTTTAATGTCTTACTAGCTAGCAACACAACATTTGAAGCACACATAATGTGTTTATATTACTTAAACTACATTACAGTGCCATCACTTTAGTGATATGGACTAGAGATTCATATCATTTAAAATACATGTTTCTAATGTCTTAATACAGCAAAAGACAAAAGATCTCCCTTTCTCAGTTAAAACCCCACAGAATTACCCATATTCCTTAAACTTCCTGAGTGTCATCTTAAGTCAGTGTCTCTATATTTAGGTGTACTTTGAGGCAATGCTTAAAAAGCATGTAAACTACTTTATAGTCCACAAAAGACACGAGCTCTTCATTATATAGGCCAGTTAAATTTATTTAAATGCCTACAATGAAGCGTAAATGAGTTTAATGAAGCATGGAGGATTTTAAAGTTGCTTTATGGATACTATCATTACCAGACGCAGTAGAATGCAAAAGGATATGGAAAAACTGGAATGCATTTCCAAATGATCTTAAATGACTTGCACCTTGTATTTAGACTCATTTCTCTGAAGTCAAACGACTTAGATACTATTTGGACAATGAAGAATAAGCACAGAATCCGATCTAACCAGCAAATGTGACAATGACAACACCCTAGGAAAAAACCATGTACATGTTTAATATTGTATCATACAGGCAACATAGGATATTTTACAGACAGGAAAGGAGAAAATAATCCATGTTAAGGATGTGCTATCACAGGAAAACATCCGGGGCAGGAAGTACTAATTAAGTTGCCATGTAGTGGCCAGGCTGTGAATAATATGGAAAGCGAAAGCCCATTTTAGTAACCAATGTTTTTATGGTAGTAAGATAACTTGTGGAGAGTATTCATATGACCACTCTCAATACACATAAGGCTGATCATTTTTCAATAGGAAAGTCTGTGAATATTTAGGTAAAATTTTGCAAAGGAATTGCATTCCCACTAGTTTTTCTCTCTTTGAAAGAAACAGTCTCTGGAATGGATGGCTTGGGAAATAGGCTCCAATTTTTAGGAAAAGTTTTCCATACCAAGTGACTTCAAAAGCATTCCTTTCTTTCTCCCAGGAAAAGATGACTCTAAGAACATGCAGTTTTCTTTCAATTAAGAGTAATTTATCCCTGCCATGATTAATACATATCCACAAGTAAATTCCCACAACCCCCCTACAGGAAATACACATATAGCTATACATCATGAAATATACAACCATGAAAAAAGGCTTAGGACAACTTAAAACACAATAATGTGTGATAGAATGTAAAATATTTATTTCTAATAGAATAGTTATACAATTTGTGGTGGAAAATGAAGAAAAACAACGAGATCATTAGGGAGTATTTTTACAAAGCTGAAGATACCAAAAGAAGCTATTCTTATAATACAGGATTGCATCTCAAAACATCATGTCTGTTTGTGTTCTAAGAAAGGAATAACAGCAAGCTGAAAAATCATTTCTTATAACACCCATGATAATTTTCCTTAGCAAAATAGGATGCTACACAGAAAGCTATCTCATAAGTCCAACAAAATAGAGTAATAATGTTCATGTTTCTATGGCAAAATGAAAACATCTGCTAAACTACTGGAACCGTGAGATGCTCTGTTCTTCGGTGTCCAATCAGAGGGATAACCAGCTATGTAAATAAAGACAGATTCCACACCAGGAAAAAAAGAACATATGTGAAAACAAATTCACACACAGAGAAAATGAAATTCAAAACCTTTTCTTCCTTCCAGACCTCATATTTTGTGATGCCTTTGGTGGAGCTCAACTAGCAAGTCAGCATTCAGACACCGACTCCAGAACATTCCGGTTAAAACATATGATAATGCCAGGACTTTTTACAAAATGAGTAAGTTTGTCATGAAGTTGTTAGTTGTTGCTTTGAAGGGAATAAAACAGAGGAGCAAATGTCAAGAGTGCAAGCTTACTACACAAGGTCTGCACATGGGAAAGATGGCGACAAGGAGAGGCGGCAGTGACAGACAGGAGGGGACAGAACCCTGCAGGGAGCTGTAGCACAGTTTCCTCTACTTTCCAGTACCTTTGAATAAACATTGCTGATGTGCCACACTGCCAGCCGCCCAAACAGAGCCCCATGTTTGCTAGCTTCACTTGATTTAGGGGACCGTCTTTCCTCAGCCTCCTGAGTAGCGGGGACCCAGGCACCTGCTGGTGCACCTGGCCATAATTTAGCCTTAGGAGCAACTGTCCCCAAGTCACCATTTCATCCGTCACTTTCCCCAACAAAGGTTTTCCTGCTTTTTCTTCACTTGGATATTTAGTTTTGTTCTTGGAAACTGAGGGTTGGTAGATCCAGAAGTAAAAACCAGACTTTGTCTCAACGCACCACAAAGAGAAAAATCGATAAATGTGCCTGTTTGTTACCCAGACATGTAAAGTGACAGCATGTGCTGTCTACCCAGTAGAATATACTTGATCTCTATCGACAATAAGATAACAGTACAAAGAATAGATACCATTTATTGCGCATGTACTATGTGCCAGCTGCTATCATAAGCATTTGATGTTTGTGTCACAAAGAAATTCACCATCAGCTCAGATCTGATGCCTCTCCTTGTCTTCTGCAGACAGCAGGCTGCCTGTGAATGCCTATTGAAGAAGCCCTCTATCTTTGGGATATTATGCTGAACTACCATTTCTTTTTAATTCCATTCTAATTTTGTTTAAGCTCCTTAATTTACTCAAGGTTGAAGTCATAAAGGGATTTTCAGAGAAGACAATTTCATTTAACAAACACTTCCACCTAGTTTAAATAGGATACACTGTCCTATTCTAATTTATAATCAAATGCATTATTTTTTGCTGTTTACATGTTAGTGCTAACAAACGCTCATCTCAGTACCTACCACAGGGCAGAAATTATTCTGGGAGCTTTCCATGTACTCATCCATTTACTCCCAACTAGACTGGATTTCCAAAGGGTTATGCTGACATCCAGTATCTTTTGTAGTCAAGACTTTCTAAGGTTACAATCATTAACAGAAGGTCTTCAGTTTTTGCTGCCCATGCTGGCCATCCCACAGTCAGTTTTAAGATTAGAGGTCTACTCTGCTAACATTACCTACCATCAACACACAGAAAGAGGGACAGGCATTTGCTCTCTTCTTTGGATGCCTAGTCAACACAGGAATGTTATTACTGAAGTTAGTCTTTCAAACCCTACTATGCATGTAAACTCACTTTTATGATCATATTGTGCCAGATACCATATCATCACTGCAAGTGGAATTTGGAGGTTCCTTTATTGTAACAGTATTGTTTACAGGGTTGGCATGGAGCTAAGGGCAAGGGGGTTGGCTAATTACTTACTGGACACATCACTACTGATGTTTTTAAAGCTTTATATAACAGCTTATAGGTAAGTTTGGGTATATTCATTATGTGGTCAAACAATAACAAAAGACTTAACTGCCAATATACCAGATCGTGCTCTCAGAGAAGAATTCAGTATAAGCTGAGGTTAGCCTATCTAACCAACCTGATGGCAGATAGAGAAAGAAGGTGACTTAGCAAATAGGCCCTTGATTGAACAGGACAAGGTTGAGGTCCAGAAGTCTCAATTCATAGCTTTTCACACTGTAGAGTGCAAACTACATTGTAAAACTGGCTTAGCAAGCTACTACCTGCATTTATAAATTTAAACTCAGCAACATAGAAGATGTGAGTGCATCACCTCTGAGAGATGTCTTACGATATTTTATTTCCTATATGTGGATGTGTTTACTGGGCCATGATACTGCAAAATATACTTCTACCTATGGAGCTTGCTCAAAAATATTTTAAGTCAGTGCGCTAATGAATACTAGGAACATTCCATTTTCTACCACAATAGCATGCTACTTAATGAAGAGGGCAACTAGATTCTTCATAAGCAACAAGCAGACCAGTTGTTATAAGTGGATCATACATCATAAAGAGAAACTGGTTCCGCCCACTCTACAAAGTCACCCACCACATGGAGGTTCTTTTGTAAGATGACACATCTGATGTCGGGAGGAGCCTGTTCTGCTTTTCTGAAAGCCACTGGGGACTCTCAGAAAGTCCTTTATTATGTCAAATTGGAACAGACCAAATAGACATGGCAAACCTTCAAATTGTGTGTGTAAGCATGTATACATGCATTCATTCTGCTTCCCTTTTCAGAATACACATGAACTCACTGTAGAAATTTAGAAAATATAAAAAACACAAATGAGAGGAAAAAACTGTCATAATCTAACATTCCAGAGCTAACATAAGAGCCACACTGACTGTACCTCCTTAGCCAAACTCTTTCTTCCTTGTTCGTAATGAACACTGCCTTCTAAGTAAAGATTCTACATTATTAAAAGGGCAACATAAGGCAGATGTCTCTAGCAGATGGCTGTGTGAGAAATGTATTTCAGAAATTCCATTACATGAAGTATTTCTAACCTTCATTACAAAATTTAATATGAACATTCTCTCATATATTTCCTCGTGATAATTCCTAGATGTAAGTGATCAGATTAAAGGTCTATAAACTGAAACTCTTTGACGGGGTGAGAAACCATTCCCCAGAAAAGCCATGCCAATGTGCTTCCTACAGTTGACACCAACACTTCACCCAAATAGGTCTTAATCTGTTTTATATCTGGTATCCAAAAATTTTGTACCAAAAAAAGTATGTTCTGTTTTAATTCACAGTGAGGCTGAATTGTTTCTGACATGTTTATTGAACATTTTTATTTCCTCTTTTGTGAGATGCTTGATCATGCCTTCTCAGTCTTTTGAGGTTCACTCAGCTCTTTACATATGTGAGGAAGTCTTTTACACCTAATGGAAACATTCTATGTTGATTTGAACACTAAACACCAGATTTCATAGAAGCACAGTAACTTTTAAAGTCCACCATGGCTTCTCTCTCTCTCTCTCTCTCTCTCTCTCTCTCTCTCTCTCTCTCTCTCTCTCTCTCTCTCTCTCTCTCTCAAGACTGCTTAGTAACAAACCCCAGAAGGAGGCAATATGAACTTTGCTTTGTAATTAGGGTTCCTGGAGATCCCAAAGCAGATGGGAAGTGGTCATTTTATATGTTTATGTTCTGTATTGAAAAATTGCAGCTTTTCCTTGTGTGAAGGTGACCACTACTAGCAGTAAAAGCCTCTCATCAGAGACAACATCTCCTGCTCTCCTTTCAAAATGTCTAACAGCAGTGAATCTGAGGCATAAAACTTCAAATCACAGAAAACTACAAAGAAGAAAACCCTCTTATTATTATGAATTCCAGGGTTAGAGCCTCCTCCACATTAGAGGGAAACTCGTTTAATGCATCCCACTCAATCACTAAGGAAATACGCAGCTCCAAAGGCCTCCATAAGAGTGGCCAAAGAGGACACACCCAACGTGGTTCTAGAGACCACTTTGCAGATGAGGCTCTGGTCCACAGGAGCACCCCAAACTCCTTATAGAGAAAAGGGGGGGTGCACTGGACATCACAGTGCACACTTCTAATCCAAACATTTAGGAGGCAAAGACAGGTGGTTCCTGTGAATTCAAAGCCAACCTGGTCTAGTCTACATAGCAAGTTCTAGACCAGCCAGTGCTACATAGTGAGACCCTCTCAAAAAAAAAAAAAAAGGTGGAGGAGCTCCTTTGCTTGCCGTCTTTCATAACCAACCCTCTCCACAGCCAAGCTAAATCCCAACAGGATTTGCCCTCCCCGACACCAGTGCCATCGTTCAGGCCCTTACCTAGCTCTGTCCTAACTCCCACCATGATGTGCCCATCGTTCTGTTTCTAGTATTGTCTTCCTTACCTTTATCCCTAAAGTACAAATTTAAGCACCCTGCCCTCCCCTTGCTGTTACAAGACAAGGCTTCTAAAGCCCCCTTTCGTGGCACAGATTAGATAGGCCTATGGTTCACTGGCAGCTGGGTCCTCAGGAGACACTAGCTGCTCCTGTCTGTGTGTTTAGGCAGCAGGAAGCATACCCTTCTTCATCTATCCATTGACCAACTCTGCAGTCCTGAAGTCTCAGCTGAGGAATGAGAGTCTCTTTGAAGTGTTTGAAGGTGGAACTCAGTGCCCTTCCTCGGCACTCAGTGAGTGAGTGTGTGCCCTTACTACGGCCTAGAAAATTAAATGAATAGGTTTTCATATCTGTGGGATGCCAAACACAGCTAAGCCTGCTTTGGGATCTCCAGGTACCCTAATTACATGGCGTAGTAATGGACCATTTTTTCAGAGTTCCCTGGAGTGTCAGCATCATCTTATGATATGCCTAGCAACCATTGCTTTGTCTGGCACATAGAAAATGCTTAAGAAAGCCTTCTTGGTAATGACTTCACTTAATAGACATAAATTACTTAAAAACCACCCTGTAACTTTTATCCTGGAGTAGTGAGATAAATCAGAGGATAAATTTCAGTGTTCTCTATCGTACTAGAGATAGAATTTTCTTTGTGAGCACAGACCTTTTGTGTAAGGTACAACACAGACACTAGACATCAGTTATATACTGAAATATGGGATATCAAACATGGCGTCAATACCTTGCCTGTACACACAGTTAAGTGCTGAATGATTACTTTTTTAAAGAGTAGAATCATGGCCTGATGACCTTGACTGCAGTGATCCTCCTTTCCAGAAACAGTCTCCATATGGAGCAGTGAACCCAGTGGATTATGGGTGGTGGTAACCATGCCCAAGGCAGAGCTGACTGTTCTAAAAGGATGCTTGATCCAAGTGGCAATCAGCCTTTCTTTGGCCTTTTTTTTACTCTCAGGATTAAGGATGACTTTGATGACTCCCTTTATAGCAGTGGTGAGATGTGACTTGAGAGCTGTTGGCGGGCATGCTCCTGCTATGTAGAGAGAATGGCATGTAACCATTTGTCATTCAAAGAATGGACCAACATGGAGAATGACAGGGATGAGAAGTGATGGCAGGCCTAGAAGACGACAAGAACCTTGGGGACGCCCAGTGGCTTGTCCCTTGCCTCTCTGAGGGCCTGCTGCTCCCTGTCCCTTCTCACAGTTTGTTTGTGTGAGACGCACACTTACTTCCTTCTAATAGAGTTCCGGCTGGCTCGGGCTGTCCCTCAGTCATTGCCAGGAATATAACAGAATAATTCGGAGAGATAAAAGAAAACCTGATTCCCCTCAATTTTCTCCCCACAGATTCAACCAGATGCTTTGGCATAATGAAGACATGGACCATGAGGTTCCTATTCAGAGACAGAAGGAGGATACAAAAACATATGCCAGTTCAGACCTCGAATGCTTGGCCTGGCCAGTGTCTGGCTTGCAGAGACGCATCCTCATACGTTAAGTGCAGGCTGGCAATCTCTAAAAACTGAAAGGTTTCTTTTTGCAGCATTCTTTCATTTTTTTTTTTGCTGTAGGACCCTCCAATAATTCAAAATGCATGAAGAAATTTCCTAGTCTAGAAGTGAATTTTCCTAATGAAGAGAACAAAACATTATGATAATCTGCCCTTCTTCAGCCATAAATCCTATTGAAATTCATAGCTGAACACAAGAGCCCCTTGGTGACACCAACAACAGACCAGCTGTCTCCCCAGCTGTTGCCACAAGGGGACCAGTGCTACAAAGACTTCTGGAACCCTCCCCCCAAAGCGAGGTGCTGACTGGTGGTCACAGAAGGAAACCAGTGGAACCTCCTTGCTTGACAGCATAACTTCCAGGGGTCAGAGCTTCTCAGGAACCAGGGCTTACACTTTGATGCTCTGGCTGCCTCTGGCTCTCAGTCTTCCTGTCCGGCTGCCTGGCTCCTCCTCCACTTGATCCTGAGGAACAGTAGGGCTTCTGCTCTGTGGTACATCCCCATTTTTTCGAATTCGCTTTTCTTTGGATTGCTGCTTAGACATATGTATGTTGTGCCTCTGGGCATAGCCCTGTCTGAGCTGGCTGGCGTCTTTAAGGGCTTGTGTCTCTTTGGCCCGCAGCTGACTAGGGGCTGCAGTCTTCTGCTCTGGAGGCTTCCCTGAAACCAATCTCTTCTGAGACCTTTCCTTTTTTTGAGCCTGTTCTCTGTGTGCTGACTTGGCAGGGGGCTCTGGGGGCTGGGCTTCTTGGATTGGTTGATTCTCACCAAGGACCCTTTCCTTTTCTTGAGCTAATCCTTCAGATATGTCTCTGTTTGGGGATTCACCTACAGACTGAGCCAAGTCCTTCTTTCTGGAATTGTGTGCTTTGTGGGTTTTCTCCTCCTGGTTCTGGGAGTCTGCTGGCACTGCTTCGGTGTGGCTCAGAGGTGACTGGGAGTCATGGGGGTCAGACACATTCCTGGGAATTGGCTTGCTATGAGATTCCGACTGCTGGGCCGTCTGAGGCTTTCTGGCTGGTATCCTTCTTAGGTGTGGGGACCCTTTAGCTGTCTCTCCCTGCCTGAGATTTCTTTTCCTAGTGTCCTGCTTAGCAGCCTCCTGGCTGTGAGGCGAGGCTTGTAGATCTGGAATCTTCTTGCTGGAGGCATGATCTACTTTGGGAGTTTTCCTTCCCCTTGCAGGCTTTGAAGCAGGCCTTGGCCTAGTGTTCTGAGGTAGTGGAGGTTCCACAGAGGGAGCAGGAATATGTGGGAGATGGACTGTGGGTGCCTCCTCTTCCTGAGGAGGGTTGGGGGAGTGCTGCTGGGCTTGTTCCTGGACAGGGGGGCTAATAAGTGGGAGCTTCACTTTGCTGGCTTTTCCAGCATTGACTTGCTGTGGACTATGGGCTGCATTGGGGCTTGGGTTTGGGGGTGGTTTGGACTGGGGAGGGCTGATGAGAGGAAGCTTACTGGGGTCATCCTGAGTTGAGAGAGACCTTGGAGAGGGAGCTGGGGTCTGATCTGTGCTTGTCCCCAAAGCCTCTTCCCTGCTGGGAGAGAGAAGCTTGGGTGTGGGTCTTCTGCTCTGGAGAGGTGCCAGGGTCTGGGGCTGAGGCAACCTGGTAGGAGCCAGCCGGCTTCTTGGAAGCAAGGTCATTGGCTGTTCCCTGACCTGTGTATGTTTTGAGTTTGCGGATGAGTCTTGTGGAGGTGGAATTTCTGGGTAAGGAGTACTGGCCTGGACAACTTCTGCTTTGGGGGTTCCCTCCTTCAGAGGTGGTTGGGAACTCCCAGTGGGCTTCACTACATCAGAGGGGGAAGGATCTTCTGTGGGACTGTGAGGGGATCTGCTAGGTGTAGGGTTGGTGGGCACAGCTCCCTCATCCTGCACTCTGTGAGGACTGAGGGAAGCTGGGTCAGGTCCAGTGGGTTCAACGGGTTCAGGGAGGGGAGGGTTGCTAGGGGCTCCTTTGATCTCTCCAGACTCCTTATCCTGGTCTGGCTGAGGGCTGGGTGAGGGAGAGGGGTTAGGGTGCTGAGGTGGCTCTTGAGACTGTCCTTCTGCTTTTAGTTCCTGTGGTCCAGGCTCACCTTCAGGCCCATCCATCTCAGTGGTTATCTTTGGAGGAAGGTCAGCTGGCTGACCATCCCCTTCCTTCTTCATCTTTGGTGACATGTCTTGGGCTGACTGAGGAATATCAGATGTTGAAGAACTGACCTCCTGAGGTGGCTCCAGGTGACTGCTGGGAGAAGGACCCTTTTTGGAGGGTGGTCCCTCCTCAGTTGACTCCTGGCTCTGTGGGAAGGGGTTCTTTGAATGAGTCTCCACTTCCGGGAGAGCTTCTGGGTTTTGGCCATCTGCTTGCAGTCTTGCCAAGCGCCTGGGGGAGGGGACCAGGTGTGCTGGGACCCCAGAGATGGTCTTCTTGCTAGAGGGACCTCCTGCTTTAATATAAAGAGAAGTTAGATACTGCTAGAAATAAACAACAAAATCCCTGTTTCCCTTGGTGTTGCACAAAGAACCTTTAAAAGAAAACCACAGGTAGACCTTCCCTTCTCCTTGTAGAGATGGAGTGGCTACAATTCTCTAATTTGATGGAAGTTAGGGCCATTTCTAGTGAACTGAAAAGATGAACATTAATGAATAAGCATCCAGATGTTTGCTCAAAGTCAAGTTTGGATCTGTGGGTGGCAAAGAGATTTTCTAAATGAATGAGACTGGTTTTGCTATTGAATGGTTAAGACACTAGCTGTGTTGCTGAGAAGAGTCTGTTTACTCACACTCTCGAGGCTCAGCATCCCACAGGAACTCAGTGAGTATGGAAAAAGGAAAAAGGAGGGAAGGGATGGCTTCAAGGATGTCATAAGACACCAGGGTCTGCTTCTGAAGCTCAAGGGTCCAAGCTGCCATCCCCAACCCCACCATTACCCCACATCTCCCTGGCTACAGATGTGGCTCCCAGAGGCCACTGCCAATACTGGTACCACAGAGAGGGCCTGCTTCCCCCTGTCACACCTTCTCAGAGTAGCTCTGGTCTCCTGGACACAGTCACCCCATCCAGCACTTGCTTATAAATGACAGAAGTCTTGACATGCTTCTGATGACCTAAACACCCTCTTAAACCAGCCCAGATGGCACAGTTCTGAACCGTGCAGTGGTCATAGGTGACACATCAGTTTAGAACAACCTAGACAAAACCAGACTGAGTTTAACTTGGGAGAGACTTTGGTGACCCCAAAGTGGTCCATCTCCAGCAGCAAATGTGTCCCTGAGCACTGTCCTCTCCACTAAGGAAGGGTGGGTACGTGCTACTCTAGATTCACAATGAACCTTCTAGTCTAATCCTCTTTTGTATCCAGTTAAACTACATGTCTCCTAAGAGTGGAAAGGGACAAGTGGTACCCTCTGTTCATCTTTTTATCACCAAATTCACCACAGATGGAAACTAAAACACAACTTTAGACAAGAAAGAACATTAAATTTGAAAGTGAAGCTAATTAGAATGGGCAATTTTGCAGAGACCAGAAAATAGACTAGAGGTTACCAGGGGTGGGGGATGGCTACTTAATGAGTATAGACTTTCTGTTATAGACAGTGAAAAACCTTGGAAACTGTGGCTACCTAACACTGAATTCACTTAACATGATTAAAATGGAAAACTAGGGCTGGAAAGATGGCTCAGTGGTTAAAGTCCTTGTGGCCAAGATCAATGACCTAAGTTTGATCCCTGGAACCCACGTGGTGAAAGGAACAACCAATGCCCACAAGTTGTCCTTTAGTCTTCACACATATGCTATCACACACACACACACACACACACACACACACACACACACACACACACGAATAATAAATACAAAAAATTCTAAAGCATAAAAAGGCAAATTATATATACTTGTATGACGCATGCAACATATGTATACAACTTAAAAAGCAAAGCAAAAAGACAATGAAACTCAACGCTGATGGTTCTCTCCTTTTACTTTTATGGGCAGACACATAGGTTTTCTTTTTCTACTTTGATGATTTAACAATTCACGAAATTTGGTTAAATGATACCATGCCCTTTACTAGAAGATAAAAGCAGCACTTTATGGGCTGGCAAATTGCTCCATTTTTCCTTTATCATTAATCAGAATTAGGAAAAATATAATTTCATTTCATAACCTTTATGGCAAGAACTCAAGGTTGCTCATTAGTTCCACTTCCGTAAAGCCTCACTGGAAGCAGTGACAGAGACATAGGATCTACAGCAGCCGTTCTCAACCTGTGGTCAAACCCCTTTCACAGGGTTGGCTAAGACCATTGAACAACACAGATATTTACATTAGGATTCATAGCAGTAGCAAATTAAAGTTATGAAGTAGCAATGGAGATACTTTGACCATTGGAGGTCACCTTAACATGAGGAACTGTATTTAAAGGTCACAGCTTTAGGAAGATTGAGAACCACTGCTCTACAGAGACCGAGGGTGAGCATACCCTTACACTGAGTGAGTTTCTCCTTATGTCATAGAAACTATACTGTTAACTTCATGCTTTGGAAACAAATACTTCCTACAATGCTCTGGGAAAAATAAGACAGTGCCATAATTTAATGGTGTGCATTTAAAATTAATGGCACAGCTAAAGCCGTAGGAGCTTCTCAGCACTGAATACCCAAAGTTATTTATGCATGCATTCAGTGAAAATTCAACCAGCCTGTCCTGAGAAGGTTCATAGTTCTAAACTTAGGAGGGTGGATGCTGTCCTCAGAGCAGACAGCGTGGGTTCTTCCAGCATTCTATTTCATCCTCATTGTTATTTGGACATTATCATTGTGCTCCCAGGGACAAATGAGCAACTTCAGAATCACTAGGTATGAAGCTGTACATTATTACTTCAAACATTTGGGAACTGTCTTTAGGTTGCACTGACACAGGATTATCTCTTTTGGGAAGATGATGCTATTGGTGTAAGATCTTTGTTTGTACTGAAGCTCAACATACAGATACTCTTAATCCAGCTGGGGAAAGCCTCAGCTTTCCAAGTCTGACTTCAGTAATGCGCCACAACATCACATGCGGTTTCCTTTTATGTTTTAAGAAAAAGATCATTTCACAAATTCATAGTTAGATTTATGACAGAAAAGTAAGCCCTCAGATACCCATCCAGCTATCTAATTGTTCAGACTAACCTCTCATAGAAGCTTAAATATAAATTTCGTTTTCTCTCCTTTGACATTTTAATTATTTTTAAATACTCTATACTAAGATGTTTGATTTAATTTTTAGACATATATGTATATATACACATATATATCATACAATATGATATGTATCACACATACACACACACACACACACACACACACATATATATCGCATATACCTCATAGAAAAAAAAAGATCAGAATAACTCACCTCAGAGCAAAGGTAAAGATGCACGGCCCCAGCTAGACCCAGGATGGTACTTCTGCTGGGGGCTGGCCCCTTTTCAGGGAGTCTTTCCAGTTTCAGAGGAAGACAGTTATGCCTGTACCCTATGATGATTACTTTGGCCAATCTGACACAAAACCTAGACTTTCCTGGGAAGAAAGTCTCAACAAAGAATTGAGTACATTGGGTTGATCTGTAGGCATGTCTGTGGGAGACTGTATGTTAATTGTGTGACAAAACTGAGCTCACTGTGGATGACCTCATTCCCTAGGCAGGGGTTCCTGAACTCCACAAGAACAGAGGAATCACACTTAGCACTAACAAGCGAGTGAGTAGGTATGCATTCATTTCTCTTTGCTCTTGCCTGTGGATGCGATATGACTAGATGCTTGGAGTTGCTGCTGACTTGACTTCTGCGTAGTGATGAACTGTCACCTGAAATTGTGAAACCCTTTTCCCAATTGCTCTTTGTCATGGCAACTTAGCACAGCAGCAGAAATGAAACTGGAACAGGCCCCATTCACCTGTATTGACCCTTTAACCAGGTGACCCTCACCCTTGGCAAGGATTTAACAGTCCTGGAATTCACAGAAGCCACTGGGCTTGACTCCTTGGACCACTAGAGATACTCTAAAAGCTTTTGAATAAGGACTATATTCATTAGAATTTCAAATAGACGCTCTTGAATACTGTCTGATCTGTGCAATGCCACTGAAGTGTAAGTTTATCTTTAATTATCAACTGAAAAAATAACTCCCTTTGCAAATTAACTGTAAACATGAGATAAGGTTTTTGCCTTAAAAAAACACATTCCTTTTCAGAATATTAAACATTTTTAAAAATACAGTTCTGTTGATGATATAGATCTGGTGATTGATTGCAATCCATCCTACTTTTCAAGCTAGAATTCCATTATTCAATAACTAGATGCTTCCGTTTCGATTAGTAAATGTTTCCGAGAGTTATAACATTTTTATAAATTCTATAATTTATACCTTTCATTAAGTCAGATAGGCCTAACCTAATTATTCCAAATAAGTAAGATTTTACTATATACTTTAAAGTGGGAGTCTATTTTCCTGTGCACACATTATCTTGCCTATTAATTTGCCAAACAGTAACTGCACGCTGTAGTCAGTGTCCTGATCACTGCAGAAACAGGAAGAGCCACAGACTATCATGATGGAGACTGTGGCTGTTGCGCTAGGCCTTGCTCGTTGCGCCTCTCTTCAGAAACACCATACAGATACAGACTGTTACTCAGTTACTCAGGGAATTCAGTGTTTATCCAAATCCCCGAGAGGCTGATGTAAAAGCCAGCACACCAATTTGTTCACTTACAATGGGAGATGGGTCAGGTTCAGGGAGCAGGGCAGGGTGTTCTCACGTAAGGTACAGTCCCCACAGGGGCCAGGGCCACCCAGGGGACCAAATTAAAGATCACAAGGTTGCTTGAATAGCAAAGAATGAAAGCAAAGGGAGCCATATTTTCTCAAGAGAAAGCTCCATGGAGGTCCAAAGCTCACTAGGTAAGCTGCACTGCCTATTTTGATAGTATTTTCTGGTTGCCATGCCAGCCCTTAGTTACTTTAACATACGAGACACGCATAGTAGGAACTCCAGCTAGTATCTGTGAGTTTACTGATACTCAGTCCAAAGTATAAGGACTAATTGACTTAGGAAAGGTATTCAAACGTGCAAATGACACAGTGGGCATGAGTGTTTGCACTCTCAAGTCATGGCCTGGCCTCCCTTCTCAGTCTGTCAGAGCACCACCAGGCAAACAGCTCCTATCTGGACCACCAAGCTGCACGGCATCTACAGAGAAGCAACAATCTTGGGTTAACACTCTTCAAATGCATCCATGTGAATGGAGTTCAGTCCCTGAAGGGGTCTTTAGAAAAGACTCTTGTTGTTGTAGCAGAACATAAAATTTGCCATTTTCACCATGTTGAGAGTACTAGTCAATGCTCTAAGTCCATCAACATCACCATGTTGAGAGTACTAGTCAGTTCACTAAGTCCATCAACATCACCATATTGAGAGTACTAGTCACAGTTCACTAAGTCCATCAACATCACCATGTTGAGAGTACTGGTCAATGCTCTAAGTCCATCAATATCACCATGTTGAGAGTACTAGTCAGTTCACTAAGTCCATCAATATCACCATGTTGAGAGTACTAGTCAGTTCACTAAGTCCATCAACATCACCATGTTGAGAGTACTGGTCAGTTCACTAAGTCCATCAACATCACCATGTTGAGAGTGCTGGTCAATGCTCTAAGTCCATCAACATCACCATGTTGAGAGTACTAGTCAGTTCACTAAGTCCATCAATATCACCATGTTGAGAGTACTAGTCAGTTCACTAAGTCCATCAACATCACCATGTTGAGAGTGCTGGTCAACGCACTAAGTCCATCAACATTGCTGTGCAGTCATCACTGTTCATCTCCAGAACTCATTTCATCTTCTGGACGCTTAAACTCTACCCATTAAACAATAATACTCTATTCTCCACTTAGCCTCTGATCATCACACTTCTGTTTTCTGACTGTTAATTTGACTGCTCTAAATACCTCATAGAAATGCAATTGTACAGTACCTGTTCTGTTCTGGCCAGCCAGTTTTATTCAGCACACTGTCTTTGAGGTTTGTGTAACACTGCGTATCAAAATTCCCTTCCTTTTAAACATGAAATACCTTCAAAGATTGTATACAACACATTCTTCATCCACTCATCCACCACTGGACTCCGGTGGATTCATCGTTTGGCTAGTGTGATTGGTACTGCTATGAATAGGGAGTCTATGTCCTCAAGACCTCACTTTTAGTGACTAAAGGACATTTATCCAAAAGTGAAACTGCTAGATCACATGAAAGTTGTCTTCTTTTCTTTTCTCGCTCTTTCTAGGAATTTACCTACTGTTTTCTGTGGCAACTACAATATTTTATATTCATTTTAGCACAAGATTCTAATTTCTCCAGACACTTTTTAGTAAGTAGCCACCCTAGTGGGTGTGAGGCAGATTTGATGGGCAAGCATTTCAGATACATCTCAAAATAGTCACGTCCCAGCCGGGCGTTGGTGGCGCACGCCTTTAATTCCAGCACTTGGGAGGCAGAGGCAGGCGGATCTCTGTGAGTTCGAGGCCAGCCTGGTCTACAGAGTTAGTTCCAGGACAGCCTCCAAAGCCACAGAGAAACCCTGTCTCAAAAACCAAAAAAAAAAAAAAAAAAAAAAAAAAAAGTAGTCACGTCCTAAAATTCTAGGTTCCAAGTCAAGGTTCTCACATGTCCTCAATATCTGCTGCTCAGGATCCATGAGAGAGATGGGTGGTGTTTATTCTTTGGGATGAGAAACTGAAGCCCAGAACAGCAGGGCTAGCCCCCGACCACATGTTTTGGGCAGTGAGCGCCCCATTATTCTCTGCAGTGCAACATTTTTAGAACTGACAGCTCAAAGAAAGAGTAAGAAAACTCTCACACTAAAATTCTTGGACTAAGGTATGATTAATAGGTACGATACTCTAGTTTCACAAGGAAATAGACTTCTGGAATGCTGAGTTCTGAACCATGAGACCAACTCGATTGTCCACTTCCAAGGCATTGTCTAGTGTGTCCCTGGGGTGGCAGGAATGTCCCACTATAGACATGGAGACAAGCAGAGTTACAGATCCAAAGGGCTGATTCAGATATCCCAGAAAAAAAATGTAGGAAATAAATGGCGTGAACCAGCTTTAGCCTAGCTAATGAGTGTCCAAGTAGTAACAGAGCTGCCTTATTTTCCACGGAGAATAAACTTGGTACAAAGGTGATAGGCTAGTACCTGCAGTTGGAGCCAAGCCCTTAGCAACTTCCTCAGTCAGCCCCAGGTATTCGCGAATGAGCTCACTTAGTTTTTTGTAGGCAATGTCCAGATCATCTACAATAAACAAGAGAACATTTTAATATGCCAGGATCACATCAAAACGCGGTCAGCGTTCAATGGTCAGTGAACTGGTTTGCTCACTGCTCTTTATTACTGTTATGTTAGGTACAATTCTAGATGATTCTAGTGACACTTCCCTCTCCTTTATCTCCACCCCTCAAGTAGGCAGAACCTATGGAGGTTAAGAGCATACACACTCATCTTTACATTACATCGTATACAAAAGGGATATGCAGGTATAGTTAAAGTTACTAATGGTGCAGGATACTGTGGAGGGGGTCACTCAAATCACATCCACGGAAGGATAGATTTGTCTAGTAGGTGACAGAATAAAAGTCAGAGGCTCAAAGCGCAACGAGGACTCAATTTGCTTGTTGTTGTCTAGAAGAGGGCTAGCCCTGTGCAGATAATACCAAGGAGCAGCCTTGCGAACTATGCACAGCCTTCGAGAGGCAGCCAACCAAGAGTAGGAGCTAAGGCCCACACCCCCAAAGAAATGCATTCTGCCAATAAGAGGGAACCCAGAAGCTCAGTTTTCCCCCAGAGCCCTCAGATGAGACCTTGGCTCAGCTGACACCTTGATCTCAGCCTCATGGTACTGACTTCGAGCCCTGGTAAGCTTCCCTAACCTGGTAAGCTTCCCTAACCTGGTAAGCTTCCCTAACCTGGTAAGCTTCCCTAACCTGGTAAGCAAGCACTGGGTTAAGCATTAACTATATGTACCTGTATGCAGCTGTATAAAAGCAATATGGATACTCAGTAGAGTAACAAATTTAGAAGTTTGCAAAAACAATTAAGTGAACCATACAAAATTGTCATTTGCATAATAGTTGAATACCAGCAATATCATACGGCTCAAATTAATGCCCCCCATTCTATCCAGTATCTCACTAAACGGCTGTTAGGAAACTATTTTATTTATCTGTTTATTCAAGACAGAGTCACACTGTGTAGTCCCGTGTGGCCTGGAACTCTCTATGTAGACTAGGCTGGCCCTGAACTCACAAAGATCTGCCTGCCTGCAGCTCCTGAGTGCTGGAACTATAAGGCATGTACTACCACCACCACCCTTTTTAAATTACTGCATTTTTTTTGTTGTTGTTGGAGGGGACGCATTCGGCAGTCAAAGAAAAACTTACAGAAGTCAGTTCTCACTGGGTGTGGATGGCGCACGCCTTTAATCCCAGCACTTGGGATGCAGAAGCAGGCACATCTTGGAGTTCAAGGTCAGCACAGTCTACAGAGTGAGTTCTACGACAGCCGGGCTACAAGGAGAAACCCTGACTCGAAAACCTCCCCCCAAACTCAGTTCTCTCCTTCTACACTCTGGTCATCGGCAGGTGCCCTTACTGGCCATCTCACCATGCCTAGGTACCTCCTTATCCGTACACAGCACTTACCATTCCTTCATGGATGTACAACACAGTATAATTAAAAACATACAGAAAATTCCAGTGATTTATCTTTCTCTGGCTTCTGCTCCAAATCAGTGGCCATTTTATTTGATTGCTTCGCTTTGTTTTTTGTTTTTTGTTTTTTTGGCCTGCCTCTGCCTCCCAAGTGCTGGAATTAATGGCACGCGCCACCACCACCCAGCTTACTTCATAAAATTTTATTTGACATACTTGTACATATTTATGAAGTACAACACACAAACACATTGTATTTATGATCAAATTTAAATAATTATCATATCCTTCACCTCAAACATTCACTATTTCTTTGTGGTGATAAAATCTGAAAATATCTGGGTAAAAAATAGAATGCTTTATTCTAAGATAGTTGTGAAAATGTTTGTTTTACCCAGATACTTTCAAATTGCAGTATTTTCAGTAGTTACATTTCTTTGTAGAAGTAGAATATGATAATACTACCTGAGCTTCATATGTCTTTAGAAGTTTAAACTTATATTTCAAATGAGATAGTATCCATCTTTGTTCTCACAATGTCCCCAGGGGAAGGAATCTCTGTGGGCCCATTTTATACCAAATCTATTTAGTCCCAACTCTGTGGACTAATACAATTTAACCCTTTGATGGAAGCAGTGGGAGACTGGCTCTCACAGGTTCTTACCTGCTTCTGCAGCTTTTTGCAGCTTCTAATTACAATAACTATCTCTGTTTCCTAAGCATTTTCTTTCTATGACATGAATTGGAAATGCAGTGATTGCATACTTCAAACATGGAAGCATATTAAAAAATAAATAAAACTCTGCTGGGCATTACTGACCTGCATTGATTACTGCATCAAAATATCCTGGAAATTTCCGATTAATTTTAACATAAATATCCACCCTGGAGACGGCAAATTCAATTTCTGCTCGACTAAATAATCCCTTCCTCCGCAAGTATCCTTCATATTTTTCCTTGTCCATAGGCACCACCAAGATATATCGAGGCTCGAAATAGGAATATTTCAAACTTCTTACACCCTGGATGTTTACAGAAAACGTAAGTCAGATGCGCCACACACTGTGGACATCACCATGGAACATGACAACTCGGGTAGCACACAGTATCACTCTGAAGAACATATTTTATCTGGAGAATCAGATGCTATTTTCCTATAAATATTTCAAGGTTAGATTACTTTTCTCTCTTCATCAAATAATAAATTATTACAGGAACCATTACAATTCATTCCACCTGGTTGTCCTCAAATTAATTGTTCTAATGAATATGGCTATTAAAAAAAGAAAATTGTCAGACATAAAATAGGGATATTCATGACAGCACAGCCATTTTATTATCAAAAAGTAATTCAGTTCCATATTTCAATAGGCATCCTTGAAGCACTAGAAGACAGAGATCTTCCCAGGGAAAAAGGCTCCCCAGGTTCCCCTCGGTCATCCATTGTCTTGGTACCATTCTTGTTTCTAAACCAGCAACCCAGAAAGGTAGGGTGTGTGTGTGTGTGTGTGTGTGTGTGTGTGTGTCTAGAGAGACAGAGGCAGAGAAAGATACAGAGAGAGAGAGACAGAGAGAATTTTAGCATCATGATCAGATAACTGCAGTCACAAGTATAGTCCTTGAGCTTGGGGGAGTTGGGGAAGGGGTCGCCAAACACATCTTCTCTGTAGCAGTTAGACCTTTCTACCACTGTACTTGGCTGATTTCCCACATCTCTGTCACCTGTATCTTCCTTTCCACTTCTCTGTGTCCTGTCTCCTGTTAACTTTTATCTCTTGGCAGTACTTAGACTCTCCTGCCACCACCAGAGCTGCAACTGCGGCTGGAACCGCCAAAGTCACCCTGCTTTTATGGTTTGTTAAAGTACTGGCCCCCACCATCTTGGGGTCAGAGCTTCTGCCTCCAACACATCCTCCCTTTGTAGATGCACAATTTGAAGGCTGGTTGTAATAATTGCCAGAATCATTGTGCTTGCCTATCTCCCAGCCTCCTTCCAGAGGATACAGACCAGAGACAGCACACCCTGGAACCAGGTGACCACAGGGTGAAATGGCGTGGGCTGTAAACCGGGAGAGCTGGGCAGAAGCTTCCTCCTAGGGGAAGTGGGAGAGACATCCAAGTGGACTGCCAAGTCTCAGTTCTAGTGTCATCAGTTTAACTCAAGTTCAGAAGTTTTGCTTTAACGATTCGGTGGGAAGAAATCCAGTCTGCTTTTAAAACAATTTCTGGAAGATCGGTGACAAGGGCAGTCTGAAAACAGAAATACCTCAGCTGGAGAGAAGCAGGGGAATAAAGCAGTTTATAGACTTGACCTCCTGAAGATAAAGAGTAGTAAGAGCTCAGGAAGAGAAGAGGGAAACAGGAGCCGTCACTCAGGAAACTGCTGAGCTGGAAAAAGGTGGACGAGGACAGAGGGAATGCTGCTGTACTCAAACGTGCATTGGTTTTTGGTTTTCTCTGTCCAAGGCAGACAGTTTTTAGACTCGATCTTTAAAAAAAATATACAGAAGTAAAGAAGACTTCTCTTAAAGATACAGAACCAGTCAACTGCAAAAAGATAGGAATGGATAATGATGCAGAAAGTTAAAGAATTGAACAAGTATGCCCAGCTTCATTAAAAGTAGGGAAGGGAAGAGTTAACCAATGCCAGAAGCCATAAGGGGCCACTGTCTCCCCCTCTGTGGTGTTGCAAAGGAAAATGAAGCCTTGTCAAGTTTTATCTTATGTTTGTTTTAATTAAATTTATTTTCTCTGGTTATAATATTTATATTGCTTAGTAAAAGCAGTTTTAAAAAAATCAGCCATCACAGAAGACCTGATTTATTTAGTTGAGTTACATGTTCATTCTTCAAATAAGTGGGCAGGAAATTCATTGGTTTCCCCTGGTTCACAATTTTGGGAAAATGTCTGTACGTTCTAATTTGAGAAGGTTGGTGGTGACAGGTGAGGCATGGGGGAGGGACAAAACTCTGAAATCTGCAAGTCTGAGTTGCAGAAGTATGAAAATATTGCATGCAGAGAGCAACCAGCGCCAAACGCCAGCACCTCCCACACAGCCCCTGTGAAGAATGAAGGAACAGGGTGACCACTCAGGCTGACGCAGTCCTGAGGAGACAGGGAGCCACCCACACCTGTACGCACTTCGTCTAATACCACTTCATAGAGACAAAGACACGCTGCAATAACAAAGGGATAAGTTGGCGAGGAAGGGAGAGCCAATGACTCTTGAGTAGAGCTGTAATCTAAATCTTGTCACTGAACTCTCACAGGTCTTACCCTCCCCACACTGATGACAAATTTAACACTTCATGATTTTGTCGCATTTCTCTTATGTCTAGCAGTATGTTATCCAGATATTGTAAGCCCAACTTCAGACATCTCTCTCTCTCTCTCTCTCTCTCTCTCTCTCTCTCTCTCACACACACACACACACACACACACACACACACACACACGAGAGCACATGTACTCACAGCTGAATGAACAATACTTACTTCTATTTCCATATGAATGCAGCTCGCTAATCCGTCTCTCGCAATACCTTCTACAGTGTCCCTATTTAATCCATAATTGTGATTACCATAATTAAATGTTAGAATAAATTTCCCCTGGAATTAGAAAAATACAAAGATTTGCACGTAATAGGTGCTGTAATGTTACGACAAAATTATCTGATGCCTTACTTTCATCTGATTCCATACAAATTAAAAGGTGTTAGTAAGTACATCAGAACGACACAATGGAATGGTAGAACAGCATCAAACTCTGATGGGGTTATTCAGAATTCTTCCCGGTGGAAATAAGGTTTATTGAAATAATCTATTGACACAATGTTTGAGGAAGGTCATGGGTGGAAGCTTCTGGAAGAACAGACCATGATGCCTGTTTACCTATTTCCTGCCAAATCCACACCACAGGCCTTCGTTACCAATGGAGGAAACGAATGGCTAGCTCTTTCCTTGCAGCTATGCCAGCATCCCAGGGCTCCAGAAAAGGACCACAATCCTAAACTCCCTGCATTTCAAGATAAGCCATGAGGAATGGGTGATCCTGAAGACTGTGGGCATCCTCAAAGCTTGGGAAAGTCAGCTCAGCCTGGTTTCCCTCATAAAGATGGCTTCTGATTGAAACTGCCCCTAATGTAGTCAACAGAATTGTTGCACAGCCTATAGTCATTTAACTATAAATGCTATATTTTCTTTATACTCTGGAGGCTCGTTTCCTGTGACAGCCGTATTCCCTTGCAAAAAGAAAAGAAAATATAGGTAAAAATATCCCCCTTCCAATTGTGACTTTTCTTTGGTTATTTATTAAACCATTAGGCCTAACCTAAACAGGGAAGCTGATGACAGTAGGAAAAAACAAAAATATGGTTGACCTTGGTAAACGTGCCTTCTGAAATGCATGACTTTAAAATAAGCAATGTTCAGGGATGCATCCAACCCTGTTAAACGGTAGGCCCATCATTAAAAATAGCAAGCAGTTAGGAGTCTAATACTGTCATCATTAACAGCATCAGCAGCCTCAAGCCTCTGGCTACACTCCTGGCTCCAGATGTTCTGGAGATATGTATAGATGACAGACTGGCAGGGGACACAGGGTGCCTTTTGGGTTGGTGGGTTTCTGGAGATTATGTGTGCTGGGGAATGATGAGAAAAATCATTATAATCAAAGATAAAAACCCAACAACATATGTCCTTAGTTTTTTACTCTTTCAATGTCATAATCTCTTTGTTCTTTGAAAAGAATGTTCTGACTTTTCCCACATGTGTGCATGTATTTAAGTATGTACATTTATGAATGTAGATGATGCAGCTATGACTCATCTTTCATGTTTTAGCTTATTTACCATATGTGCTGGTTAAGTTCATGGGTCAAGATGGAGAATATTTGGAGGTGAGATTAACAGCGAAATTGATGAACTTGGAAGAAGCATACTGTCCTGGAGTGTGGGTAAACTGCATCCAATCCCTTTAAGGGCTTGTACAGAACAGGAAGGTCACCCACAAAGAGACTCTATTTACTGGTTCTGTGTCTCCGGAGAATTCTAATGCTCTATGGTGAGCCCTGTTTCCAAAATGTATGAATATCTGAATTACTTTTCAGATACATGTTTATTTACTTCCTTGGTGGGTCTCATAAGCATTTCCTGGAAGCATGCATGGAGAGATCCCATTCAACTGATCTGTTAAACACTAAGATGATACAGTTCCCTCAGCTCTGGTCAGTCACACTCCCTTCATTTCCTAAGTGCATCTGAGTTTCCTAATAAGCAGCAGTGGGCACACAACAGAAGCCTCCAGTGGTTTCATTTCCACAGAGAGGGGGGGCTTCTGTAGAGGAAGGACTAAGCATTGCTCCTCTACAGAGAGCTGATGTATCTATCTGGAGACTGATAGGGGAATGATCTGCTGGTTGGAGGAAGTGTTCACTGAACAGACATGTCAACATGAGAGAAGATGGAGGTCCATATGCTTTATCCATCTAGAAGCTAGGTGTGGCTGCTCACAGTAGGTGTGCGGGGCCAGAGTGTCTGTGAAGAGAGAGAGCCAGGCTGTCTGGGCAGGTGGTGTGTGGAGAGGTGTTCCCCGTGCAGAAGGCTGACAGTGAAGGCTCACAACGTGTCATGAGTCTGTGACTCTCTAGGCTTAGCTCTCTTTATGAAACAGTGTCACACTCTCAAGAAAAGGAGATTGGAAGTGAAACTCAAGTTGATGAAAATTACATCGAGATAATACATGTTGGCAGAGACAGGAAAAATGAGTTCTTCTCAAATACATGGGGATGTCTGTGGAGCTCTAAACTGTAAAGCTAAATATAGCCTAGAAATGCGGTGACTTCTTAGACTGGGGACTGAACCAGGCTAACTTGACTACAGACCTGATGAGCTAGGAACATCAGAGAGCAGGTGCACAGATAAACTGAACTCCCAGAGAAAATGCCCCACTCTAACAGTGGAAATTAACATCCATGTGGGGATGGAGCGGGAGGCGGGGCTTCCATCCTAGGGTGCTGAAGAAACTCTTTGTAGTACTGTGGAGACATATCTCACATCTCTTTTAAAGGCCTTTAGAAATACAAATTTCCAGGAAACGCCTAATAAATCAGGCAGACTTGTCAAAATACAGTCCTAGGAGAAGATGTATGATGGTCAAGATGTCCTTTTGACAGGGCTTTAGGGAGAGCTGCCTGGGAGTATGGGACTCGCTCACTTGTGTTTGTGTGAGGACAAGATGAGCCCTGAGGACACGCCCCATGGTAGAGTCCAAAATTGAGCTAATGTAATTGCACAGCCCAAGCTTAAACGCTCCATGATATGGACACTGGAGTTTCAATCCAGGTCCATTGTGGGATAAAAACAGAGAAAGAAGGGAGGGCGAAGAGAAAAAGAGGGAGGAGATATAGTACTCCTGACTGGAGGCTGGCGGCACAAAGACTGGTCTGTCACCTGGTCCTCAGTAAGCTACGTAAGAGGATGAAGTGGTGAGTGCTTCTCTTGGTGGTAGGAAGGACTGTGATGTAAACAAAACTAAGGTTCTTGCAAAAGAAAGTAAGAGGCACAGATTTGCTAGGAGTTGTGGCGATCAGAGATGGGCTTCGGGGTAATGAAGTCAGGGGTGGGGTGAGTATGTTTTGCATTAGTGTGTACTTACAACTGGTAAAACACACTCAGTTGTGAACATTCCCTTCCACATGAAGGCAAGGAAGAAACGATGTTTAAGAAAATGCATGTGAATTCAAGGGGATTTGCACCACCCTCAGTGATGAGCCCGTCAAGGTGCAGAAAACTCTCAAATTGAACCAGACTTACAAAGTGCACAGCATTTACTCCTTACCTTCTTAGAAACCACCATTTGCTCATATTTCTGACAAAGAACATGGATTTCTTCTGTGCTTAAAAAAGGGGGAGAAAATAGCAGGGAGCAGCCTTACCATGCTCAGCATTTCATCAAAAACTTCTTGAGAGATAAAGTGATAATCAACTCGATCCCCTTCGCCAAAGTATGGTGGTCTTGTGGTGTGACAGGCCCTGAAGTCACAGAAACAGAGAGTACCAGCTATTCTTAGCAACTTGGAAGTCACAGTGGAAAAGCTTTCATTATGAAGAATGTTTAAGAAATGAAATTGACCCACAGATCATAAATCATAAAGTAATGTAATTGTCAAAACAGCATGCTTTAGAAGTCTTAGACTATAGTTAATCACTATCATCTATGAGGATTATACAAATTTTGGCTCATCAATACCCAATTTTTACTTACATTATTTATCGCCTTCTGAATCACCCCTCTGCCACCACATAATGACTGTTTATGAAGTATCAGAGTAGTGATTGCTCACCCAGCTGCTTTCATATTCTCTCTGATCTATGGGCATTTCCTGTCGGCTCCCCTCCTCTCTCCACATGGCCGCTTGTTTGTCAGGACTGGGTTTAAGTGTTGACTTCCCCATACTCCTCCTAATGTCCTCTGGTGAAGTATGCAGGTCTTTATACTCCCGCAACCTCAGGCTACACCACCCGCATTCCCAACTGCTTGTTCAGGGCCCATGTCCCCCTCCACATGAGGGCAGAAATACCTCATTCTCTCTGGACTTGACTTATACATGAGCCTCTATGGGAACACATGGTTCAAGTGGTGAATGGATTCATAACCCGGGAGGCTTTGTCTATCCACTGCCCTGAGATAGCATCCCTAAATCCACACATACACACAGTCACGCATGCACGCACGCACGCACGCACTCTGAAACCTCCTTTCATAGTTTTTCCTGTCTTCCCAGCACAATATGTAGCTGGAAAAACCCTTGTCCCTTACTTTGTCACTGCATTCCCAACACCTGGAACAGAGCAGGCATGGCATTCAAGGGAAAGTAAAAGGCGTGGAGTGGTAACAGCTACAGAGTCTACCATTGGAAAGGTGACGAAGGAAGTGACCAGTCCAAGGTCACCCCAGAAAACCAGACACAAAGTTCTCAACTCCCCCAAGACTCTGATCTCAGACCCTTCTGTTACGGAACAGTACTTTTGTTTATGCTGCGTGTTACTTTAAGGAAGTGTGTCGATTATTGTAAAGCTGTGTTGAATTTCTTTCACCTGGCCTGCCTAAGGCACCTGATTGATCTAATAAAGAGCTGAATGGCCAATAGCCAGGCAGAGAAAGGATAGACAAGACTGGCAAGCAGAGAATAAATAGGAGGAGAAATCTAGGCACAAGAAGGAAGGATGGAAGAAGGAGAGAGAGGAGATGCCGGGGCCAGCCACCCAGCCAGCATGGAGTAAGAAGGAAAGAAAGATGTACAGAGTAAAGAAACGTAAAAAGAACAGCAGCAAAACAGAGTTAATGAGAAACAGTATAATTTAAGTTAGAAAAGCTGGCTAGAAATAAGCTAAACTAAGGCCAGGCATTTGTAACTAAGAATAAGTCTTTGTGTCTTATTTGGGAGCTGTGTGGAGGCCCCACAAAAGAGAAAAAGCCAACTACAAAAGAGAAAAAAAGCAACTACATCCTTCTACTTTCCCACTATTAAGTTCTGGTAATAAGAGCAAATTTTAGATTATCTAATAGTTCTAAAATAGGAGATGAGAATTGATAGATGCTTGACATGCTAAATCATTTACCAAAACAAAAAAATCCAAAACCTCACAGAGCAGATATTATTTCCTATTTTACAGATGGCAAACTGAACACAGTGATTTACATGGAGCTAAGCAGCCATACCAGGACAACTCCAGTCAGCTTCTATAACAACATACCAATTAGGAGGCTGGCACATTACAAAGTCAAAAACACAGATTTAAAATTCAAATAATGGCTCCCCCTATGTAGAATAATCAAGAATTTACTGTAGCCAGAAAATTTCAGGTCTCAATGTTATGTTTACACTGTAGATACCAGAAAGAGAGTACATTCAAAACATGATGACATTTGTTTTGTTGTTGAAACACACTGGCATTTCTCTCTGTGCCTGGGCAGAGACCTGGGCCCCTCTGTCTATTGGTGTCCTTGACAGTCAGAGGAGATAAGTCTGTGGCCTGGCATTCCTGGCTGTACACCCTCAGCAAAGTCTTTACACACTACACTGAATTTACATTTCCCAACAAAGGGCTTGAGTGGCAGGGAGTTTTGAAGAAGCAATATGAAGTGTGTGGGCAGGTAAGCAAAGAGATAGTTTCAGTCATGTGGAGAGTGAGGACTGGTGACAGCCGGGGGACCTTCTATTAAGAAGGACCTGAGATGGCCTGTGGGATTTTCAACCTGTCATCCAATTTCACACATAGAAACCTCCGCTGCGTGTATGCTGCCCGATGGTGAGCATCCCGGAAGGGAAATACTTCACGGTAAAGGCATCGTTTCACCAAGCTCACCTAGGAACAGCAGCACCAAGTTTAACAGAAACGGATTTCTCTGGGCCCTCCCCTTCAGCATCGGCCCCCTCATCTGACTTTATTACTTGCTAATTAATTAACTAATACAATCATGATACGTGATGATATCATGGCTTATCCCTGTTAGTTTCTCTTTACCACAAACGGACTAAGCTAGGGACTCCATGTCTGGTGATAAAGGGCTAAGGGGGCTTTGGCATTCCAGAGCAAGCTCTCACCAAAACTCCAAACAAATCATGCCCATGGAAAGGATACTTTCAGGAAGGAAAGGTATTTGGATATTCATCCCTAATATTGGCCTTCTTCCGTATCTAGGACAAGATAACAGAATGAAAAGATGTCTAAGAACAAAGAGTGAGCAGATGGCTAAGGAGGTTGACCATGTCGGTGTGATTCAGAAACACAGATTTAGAACCTCAGTTCTGGACTGCATTGCCTCAGGAAACCATTAGCAGGACAGCAAGTTCTGTACAGATATTCAGGCAGAGCTGGGCTGTACACCCATGATTCAAGCACTCGGTAGTGAGTCACATTGCTAGGATCTCTCTCAGTGCGTAGCCATGAAAACTCCAGTGACAATGGAGGTTATTATAAAACAGAGGTGGAGGGAGGAATAAAGTTTGTCTTTAAGGGTGCTTAAGATCATGTGACTGACCTTAAAACTGGAGGGTGGTCTAACTTAGTGGGGGCTCCTTTATCCAAAGCTTTGCCAGGAACTCTCTGGCTTGTATGGCAATATGGAGTTAGAAATAAGTAGACAGCCATGTGGTGGTGGTGCTCATCTTTAATCCTAGCACTAGGGAGGCAGAGGTAGACGAATCTCTGTGAGTTCAAGGCTAGTCTGGTCTACAGCGTGAGTTCCAGGGCAGCCAAGGCTGTACAGACAAAGCTTGTCTCAATAAACCAAAATAAAGAAATAGACTTTGAAGGCAGTACGCTTTTACCTCTCCATCACCACTAACTAACACAGGTAAAGAAAGGACATCTGGCTGATTTCTAAGCCAAGAAGAAATAGTAAAACAAAAGCCTAATCACAGTAGAACGCCTCAGCCCCACCACTCTTTGTCATACAGCAGAATTATGTTTATTCCATCTCTGTACATGCAACTTAGCATGTGAGAATGTCACTGAACATCTTGATCTTGGTGAATGCCATTTTTAAAGAATAAAATAAAGTCAATAGGAGGGAGCGAGAAGAGTCAAACAAATAGCCAGGAAAAGGTTGCACAATGAGATTGTATCCATGGCTTCTTTCATTTAATTAAACATGCACAACCTACGTGGGATAAGGAACATTAAAACAAACAAACAAACAAACACCTCTCTAACTGAGAGCAATGGCTTGTCCCTGAAGACATTTCTCTACAGTTTTAATCAGAAAGTGGCTTCGTATAATGACAGAACTATCTTAGCCTTCTAGGTGGATGAAATCACTAGCTATGTAATGCCCATCTTTGAGATCTGAGGACATAGTCTAGGGTGGAATTCTTAGAATGATTTGCTACTGAACACGCCTGGCTCTCTGCCTCCATGAGGATGCTGAGATACAGTGGGTGGAGCCACTTCTGAGCCTCTGAGGGAGCGGGAGAAGGGGGAAGGTGGTAGGAGCAGTTGGCAGCATTTTAGTATTCATCACCAACTGCAGTCAGAAGAGAAGAATCCCAGTGGCGGCACCATCAGGACAGGCTCGGGGCTCATTCTGAGGGATGTGCTTTGTCACCTCAGAGCTGCACACAAATGCTACGCAGTCCATGAATACACACCGCACAAAGGAAAGAACCTCAGCAGTCTTAACACAAGTAATACTGAATGAGTTCATTCATCCGTCCACTTCTCCACAGATCCATCAGGAAAGTCATCTATGCTTCACAGCACCGCTGTGTCAACCACATTTGATACATGGCCATTAACCTGGCTGTCCATTTGCACAATCAACAAATATTTATTACACATGCATGAAGCACCTGGTCATATGTTAGACAGCAAGAGCTCATTGGTGAACAAGGCTGATGTGGCCACTCCTCTAGCCGGCTTAGGCAAGCCAGGAAAAAAGACACTAATTAAACCAATAGAATCAGGATGGGTAAGCATTTTAATAAGGGACATATCGGATTGGGTGGCAATGAGTAACTGAGCCAGAGAAGAACATAGGAGCAGATTGAATTAGAAATATTGATGGTAAGTCAATAAACATTTCGAAAAACATATCAGACCAAACACACCTTGGCAAGAGCATATCACTTGTAAATAAACATGATCAGGCCACCAGCCATTGCCAGATGCCACTATAGGCATGACAGTAATAAGAGAAAGCCCTGGTTCCCTAGGTTGCCTTGGTTTGCTAAAACGTTCCAAATTTGTATCCTGGGACAATGGTCAGCATACACCCTACCTCTCTAGTTTCACCTTCTACTCACTGAACTCTGCTTATCTCTGGAAGCAGGCTGGATGTTCCCGAATGGACATAATGGAACACTAAGCTTTTTAATGCTAGCACTCACTTTTAACTTACTTTTGTTACTTTGTAATATTTATATTCTTACAGTCTTTGTGTCTAGAAATGTCCAAATGTGTGTTGCAATTTTAAGCATCTAAATAAATGGGCCTTTTGAAGATGCCATTTACATTGTTTGAACAGACACAGTTGTAGGAGGGGACTTTTTCTGTAACAGCATTAGAAACTTGTAAATTTTTCTTACAGGCCTATACAGCTTTATAGTTACATCTTCAACACACTGGCAGACACCACTAATTCCAAAGTAATTCCTTTGCCACATGTAAAGTTCAAAGAGGAAACAGGCCAATTCTAAATGTGATTTCCAGAAACTTCTAAAACACCTCTAAGTCTAATGGGCTGATTTTCCTCAGGTATACATACATATCTGAGAGATACGTATTTTGTAAATATATGTCCATCTGAAATTGCAACTGTCACACACTGCCCATTCTGGAGAGAAACTCATTAGACTCAGAGAGCTCTGAAGGGAAGGGCCCTCAGACTCAGGAAGTACGTTCCAGGAAGTTCTAGACACGAGATTCATGAGTAGAGCTCCCCTCACCCACGCCACTGCCCCACCCACCCTGCTCCCCCAAACCTCCATTTCCTCGAGGTTTTACACACACACACACACACACACACACACACACACACACACACACACACACAGAGTAAGGACTGCCTGGAAGTGGTATAGGGAACTGGAGGGGTCCAGCTTTTGTGGGTCGTCACCTATGCTGAGATGGACTGCAGAGACAGTGATGTAGCTGCCTTTGAGTGTCCTGCTACTGTTAATAACCCCCAGTAAACTCATCAGTTCAGCAGACAGGTCTCTAGTAGAATCGCTCCTTCGGCCTGTCATAGATTCCCTATCTGGAACGAGTAGACATTTGTTTACCTCTCCTCAACACACAACAGCAAGACACCATGGTGCTCAACTAAGATCAGTATTTTCAGGTCTTGGAGAATGATTTGAGCTGGCATCGCATCAACTTAAATATCTGAAGGATTAAACATTAAACCCTATGTGTATTACAGTTCAGTACATGGCAAAGAAGCTCGGCGAGCTTGCATGGGAGAGGTGTAGAAAGGAACGAGTGTGCCCTGATTGTTAATGTGTTCGGCTGGTCAGCTGGTCACTGAGAGAGATTTACTGCTGCTCTCACCAAAGAGAAAAATATTTTGTTTCTTTTGGCTAATTGATAAGTTCTGTAACTGGAATATACATTGACAATCATCTCTACTATATCATTTTAGGATGGCAGGAAAAGCAAGAGTCTAGATCATGCAAGAGTAAGTAATAGAACCTATCCAATTGTAGCAATATGGTGGTTGGGACGTCTGAGGATTTGTCATCTGCCAATGCCCACGTTACTTACCACTTCTAGCTTTTAAATATAACTTAAATAAATTGTTATGTCAGTGCAAAAATTTGCTTAAGGCAGACAGAACTGACTACATCTGAGAACTTTGTAGAAAGAAACTATTGATGTCCCCAGCAAGGCAGAAGATTCTCCAAGACTACGCCAACAGGCAAACTTACCCGTATCTGAAGTAAGTACTAAACTGTCTGCAGAGGCGGTGGGCGAGTTCTCGTTTGCCACAAGCTGCAGGACCAGTTAAAACCAGCATGGGATAAGGGGCATCCAGGCTCGGCAGAGTGCTGCAACAATATCCAGCAGAGACACAGTATGTTAGCCACCCGCTCAAGTTTTCTACGTCACGGTCATAACCAACAGCGCTTGCTGAATGTAGGCTAGTGGAAGGATGGTTCCACTCTCCAGTAACGGGATTCTAATATATCAAAAACAGCATCTGGGGCTGGAGAGGCAGACCAGGGATTAAGAGCACTTAGTGCTCTCCCAAGAAGATCCAGGTTCGGATTCCAGCACCCACATCTAGCAGCTCACAACCAACTATAACTCCAGTTCCAGGGGACTCTGATATCTTCCTCTGCCTTCACAGGGACCTAGGCACACATGATACACACACATACACTCAGGCACACACGCATATACAACGTAAAATAAAATATAACCTTCCATTCAAAGGATAAAGGTAAAATACAAATTTCTCTCAATTTGCTTTACCAAGCTTTTCTAAAGGAAAAGAATGGAAGGACACCTTAGATCCTGATTGCTAAAGTATTCCTCCCTCTGGAATTGACCAATGAGCAAAGTGAGTGAGTTCTGAGGTCGGTGTTCAGGATCCACATCCCCTGCCTTAAACTAAACACAGGCATTCAAAGCAGGCTTCAGAGACACAATGCAGCAGGAGTGATCACCGTATGCAAGGAACTGCTCTACAAGTTCTGCACGTCCCTCGTGTGACTGCCACAGTGCTAAGGGGGCTGTTTCTAGCATTCCTCACGTAACATAAGCTGTAGCCAAGGAAGGCAGACTGACTTGCTCCAAGGAAAGGAAGGGCTGGTATGTAACTCGAGACTGGAAGAATAAAGAATAAAAGTATCGCCTGGCACAGTGGCACATCCTTTAATCCCAGCACTTGGAAGACAGAGACAGAAAGCTCTCTGTGAGTTGAAGGCCAGCTTGGACTACATAGCATGTTCCAGGCCAGCCAGAGTTACAAAGAGAGACCCTATGCTTAAAACAAGAAGAAGGCATGAAATTGTCAACAAGGCATCCTGCATCATATACTGCGCCTATGTGTTTGCACACTCTTCATGAAATAAACTATAGAAACGGAATAAAACAAGATGTTTGATTGCGTGGCTGAGGTGTGGATTAAGTGAAGATTCTATGACATCCAGGATAACAGCATGGGCTTCTAATCTCTGCGGGTTTGCATCAAAGTAGAGAAAGCTTAAGGACAAGCGCCCACGGAGAACACACAGCAGAAGGAGATGAAGTGTTCCCAGGAATGTGCAGACTGCCTTGTGAGGGACCCTGTGCAGGAGAAGGAAGCAGTGGGCATCCTCTGACAGACCTAAGGGCAGGAACCCACCAAGCAGCCCTCGGTACCTACGGGAAGCAGACAGGCTGAACCAAACGTGCAAAAGCCTGTTTGCGGACATTCAGAGCAACTTTATTAGTGACAGCCCAGACTAGAATCAGCCTAAACACCTTTCACATGGGAACAGTTAAGTTAATGCTGACACACCTATGCCCTGGAATGCTACTTAACAATAAAAAAGGATTCAGCCCCATGGATGAGTTTCCAGGAGGGTGCCCTGCATGGGGTGGGAGCATGAGAACTTTGGGGAAGTTGCACTGTGTGATCTCTGTGCATTATACTCTTGAAGTGACAGTAGTATGACATGGGGGCAGATCCGTGGCTTCCAGGGATGAGACATGAGGAAGGGAGGGGGAGAGAGAGGAGCCACAGCTATCTGGGAGCACCTAAGGGAGGCCTGGGGTGAAGCTGCCAAGTCTTGAGTATGGTTCTCCATGACAGACTCCCGATGAAACTGCACAGAACCAGACAGGGCTGAGCACACAGGAGCCCTGAGGGGCTAGAGAAACCTGGCGAGTGACTCACAAGGCTTCTGGGTCAGTCTCCTGGCTCTGGCATTGTCCTGGGCACCACTATTGTGGAGTATGCGGGAAATGTCCACAGTCCATGTTTACTATTTCCTACAACTGCGTGTGAATGAGTGGCTCCCTCAAAGTAACTTTTCAAGAAAAAAAAAAGAAAACATGACAGGCAGTGACAAATATTGAAAGTAGGCAAAAGAAGTCTTTCTGACCAAGAAAATCAAAGCAACGGAACAAGAAAAATGTTAGACAATTCAAAAATTGTCCTTAAGTACAACAACAAGAAAAACCTATGAAAGCATGCATTACATCCAAAGCAGGCCAGAACAAAACCAAGGCCTCTTGAAGAAATGCTCGTGCCAGAACCGGGAGAGAGCACGCACAGGATGGTTGGGGAAGACTGGGCATAGGGAAGGGCAAAGAGCCGTCGGTGACAGCCAGGGCACTTGAGTCTGTGCCATTTCAATCAGGCACCCTCACCCCAATGAGGGGACCCTGATTTCCCACAGTGCAATCTGTACCCAGCAGGCCAGGTGCCCACACCCTGTGGGTGCCCTGCCGGAAGCTGCTGTGTCCTGCTGCCGTGGGAAAGGCCATGGCTGGCCGCCCTGGCAGACACTGAGGCAGAACTGTGAACCATGATCCAGACCTACCTGGCCTCTGCCCTTGTTTGTCTGGTGGCCAGACGTGACCAAGAAATGCATGTTTATCACATGCTACTACTGATGTCCCTGACGCACATTCTTACAGTAATACACCCTAAGGCATCGAACAGGCAGTGACATTACAAATCAGGAAGGAGACCCTCTCTCAAATCAGAAGTGCTTTCCCTGATGCACACAATGGAAGGCTAAATCATCTCACTGGGGGGCTCTCATAAACATGCTAAACTGTCAGTGTCGACAAGACTGCACTATATGTAAAAACCATGTCCAGGATGGTGAAATGAAACACTCTGCTCTCTTGTGGGAAGCCAGCCGTGAGGTGCAGAAGCAAACACATGAAGACAAGAAGTGCGTGTATCCAAGAGCTTCGCAAGTATTTTTAAAATGCCTGTGGGTATTGATAGAATTTCCATGTTATACTTATGGCACTAGTGGCCATCTGCTCTGACAGACTGTTTAAAAAGAAATGGAGAAATGGCGGTAAATCTGTCTTCGGATCTGGAGGTGAGAGACTGGATTCATGCATGCAGCCAGGCAAGGCGGCTCCTCCCTGCTGTGCTGATGGCAGCTCAGCAGAGACTATTCAGGTTTCTCTGAGGTGAGCTGGCCTTCCTTCTAGATGCTCCCCTAAAAATCCGAACTCAAACAACACTCTCTGGCCGGAGTATTTAGCATGTGCTAACAGTTAAGGAACCATTCACAACGATGTGTGACGGTTCGTTGTACCCACCAGCCTGTCTGGATATTAACCAGGCACACCTTTGGGTGCATTTTTGAGGGGTTTTCCAGACAGGAGTAACTGAGAGGAATATGACCCATGTGTGGGGCAGTGTATTAGTTACTTTTTGCTCTGATAAAATATCATGACCCAAAGCAACTAATAAAAGGGGAAGTTTACTTGGGGCTCATGGTTCTAGAGAAAGAATCCATGATGGCAGGGGAGCGGGCGGGCAGCAGCTGGAGAAGGAAGCTCAGAGATCACATCTTCAACTGAAAACACAGAGCGGAGAGGACAAACTCGAAGCCAGGCAGACCTGCACACCCTCAGAACCCTCCCCCGATGACGTACTTCTTCCAGCAAGGCTGTACCCACCCCCCCCCCAATGGTTCCATAACCTTTCCTAAACAGCACCACCAACTAAGGACCAGGTGTTCACATACAAGTCCCTGCAGGGGACACTTCTCATTCAAATCACCATGGGTACCACCCAGGACGACATATGGAGACAGGAGAAAGCTAGCTGAGACCCTGCATTCCATCCCCACTTCCCGATGTGCCCAGACATAAGCAAGCTCCCTCTGCCACCGCTGGGTGCGGTCCCTGCTTCTCTTCTGCATCACGGTGCTGGACCACACCCTCTCAAACCATAAGACAAGGGCCATCCCTCTTCTCCTGAATCACCGTTGATGGACTGCTAAAACGAACGCTTCATCATCAAAGCAACAAGAAGAGGGATCTGTGTGCTTATAAATGATACAAACTTTCTGTTAGTGAGATAAAGCTCCGGGTTTCTATCCTAGGCAGAAAAGTTTACACTTTTGACTTGAGAATCACTGTCATTTGTCTCAGGCTAGCTAGAATACAAGGGACCTAATGAACGAGTTCAGGTGAGTCAGATCACCATTACGTCCGGGAAAGTCACCAAAGTGCAATCACATTGAAATGCACAGTAACAGGCCATGATGGAAGACGTGGCCCCTTACTTCAGGGGAGGCAAGAAAGCAGCTTCAAGTACTTTGTTTTTACTATCTTATGTCCATGAGTGCGTTGCCTTCATGTAGTCTGTAGTCCGTGTCCTGTGTGTGTGCTTGATAGTCATGGAAGCCAGGAAAGCGTGTCAGATCCCCTGGGACTGGAGTTAAAGACAATTGTGAGCTTCCATGTGGGTCTGGGAACTGAACCGGGGTCCTGTGGAACAACAGCCAGCACTCTAAACCTGTGAACCGAGGAAGCAGGTTCTATAAAGAGTGAGTCACACAAGGCGGGGGTTGGGGGGTTGGGGGGGGAAGATCAACAGTCCTGTCTCTTTCTTGCTCACTCCAGAGTTCCAACTGTAGGGTCCTAATAAATACCTGTCAAAGATCCTCTGTGGCTGCGACATGCTGTTGACAACATGGGTCATGTGATCTTGGACAGCGACCACTTCAGGGGGAGGGTCATACTTATTCACTGCTGCAACCTTTCCCAGAAGGAGAAAAGGGAAAAAGGAGACATGTTTGTTTCCCGAAAGAACACAGGGAATTTCCTAGCTATGCAACCTAGAGTGGCAAGGTAAGTCACGTGAGTAAGTCACGTGATCCCCGGCCTTGCACTTGCTTGGTCTTCCTGTCAACTCTGGCTTTCCTAAAGTGCCAATAATGACAGTTGTTGTAAAAAGCAGAGTGGGGTCTTTGGTCCTCTTTTCCTTTATATTCTCTGGTTTGGGGGAGCTAAAGAAAAAAGTCCAAAGTACTCAGTGGATGTCAATACAATAAACAATCCAACTGCTAGTACGGGAAGGAATACAGTGTACTGTCGAAGGTTCTAGGTAGTCGACAGAAGAGAACTGTTTCCTGACACCTTCTAGCCCAGGGCTGTCCCCACCCTCTCACACTCTCCCAGCCTTGCTCTCCTTACCCAGCCAAGGACACACACAGGTTCTTCCCCTGGTGTAGCGACCTCTGTCTTCACGGACCTTCTAAATGCATGATCCCGTATGTTTACTAGTGACTTTCACTTCAATTCTACTTGCAAAATGTGAAAAGAGGCTCATACCCAGTGGCTGGCAGTGTGCAAATAAGGATGAGGAAGTATCTGGAACTATTTTTAGTCGGGGCTGCAGAAAGGTATTTATGGGATGGAATATGCGCCTACCCCTGTACCTTTCTCTATTCCCAGCTCAAATTGGATCTGGTATAAGGAGCTCCTCATTAGCAGCTATGCCTGCCCCAGCTGTGGGAGGGAGGGACAGAGGGGGAGGGAGAGAAGGAGGAGGAGGGAGGGAGGGAGGGAGGGAGGGAGGGAGGGAGACAGGTGCTGGTGAGTTCAGAGCCCATGCCTCTGGAACTTTGTGGTCAGAGGGATCGGTAAAGAGTAGAAGTAAAGAAACTATAATATCAGAGTAGTTATTTGAGCACCTTTAGATTACATCGAATGACATGATCCATTTCATTATTAATTTTCAAAATAACATAGATGGAATTTCAGACTCTGTGATTAGATAGGGAAGCTATGTATACTGCCATCAGGACACAACTGGCCAGGAGGGGGCGCCAGTACTCCTCACTGTCAGACTTCCATTGTACCCATGGACACCTGCCACTGCACGTGTTGACACCCAGCTCAACAGAGGCCTCAACTGACAAATCCTAGGACAAAGAAATCGCTCCTAAATAAAGAATTAATTTGCATACTGCTATGCTTCTCGCTGATTGGTTACACTGCTACAAGCAGCGTGACATTTTTGAGCACATTAACCAGAAACACACGAGGCAACATGATTACATACCTTTTCCTCCACTTTAATCTTCTGCTGATCTAATTCTGTCAGTCGCAGCAGCATAAATATTACGAAGAACCAGTACTCGGATTTGTTCTATTAAAAATAAGAGGACTATTCAGTGACTTTCCCCTTCCCGGGTCAGCAAACACCAACCCATTTTTGGGGACTTTCTATTCTATCTGGACCTTTCAAGACCTGCTGCCATGACCCTGAACCCCACCACACACACACACACACACACACACACACACACACACACACACGCACGCACGCGCACACACACAAGCACACACACACAAGCACACACACACACATGCACGCACACACACGCACACACACACAGGGCTCTGCATTTTCATGCTTACCAGCCCCCTTAAATTAACAACCAAGGTGCAGAATGTGGCCTATAATTTATAAAGCTCTTCAAATGTTCGATCTCCCTAATCTCCCCATGAGATAAACAGGGTGGCAGGATTATCCTCTGGGGTAGAGCTAAGCCTTGAAGATGCGGGGCAGCTCATCTAAGACACCAAACCTTTCTCTTCTAATGCCAGAGTTTCATTACCGAAAATAATGACATTTGACTACTTCTTATTATTTCATCATGGGCTTATTATTTATTGTGTTCTTTTGTATTAGTTGGGATCATTCATTATGAACTTGCCTTACAATAATAAAATGATACTCGCCTATGAACAAATTCCCCTTTGCTCCCTGCAAACTGTTGGGATTGCCTGACTTAAAAGTGGCAACTGGGGGGCGTTCCGAGTGTAAGATGCTTCATCTCTTTGACTAGCAAGATACAGGTAGGTGTAAGTTAGGTGTAAGGAGACAGACTGCCAATGACCCTGATGAATCCTCCGTGTTGTGTGTGTGAGTGAACTGCCACACTGCACCCCAGAAACCTGCATGATTATTATACACCAACTGAAGCATTTTAAAGCTTCTCTCGCACGCTTCAGAGTGTAAGCGCTGGCAGAGTTTATAAGTGAATTAACCACGTGAGGGGTTTGTGCAGATGCAGAACACTTGGAGGGTGGTGGCCACTTCGGAGCTCATCCCTTACTTCTCCCGAAAGGCCTTTCTTTTCCTTGCTGGCCACTGTCCCCTGTCTGCCTTTATTTTCCAATATTTCTTTTCTGTTTCTATTTGACATTCTCACTTGTCTAGATCTGTTCATCAAGATATAAACATAACGAATGTAAGAGAAGCTTGCTTGCGTAGTCAGGACTGGGGAAGCCAAAGGGGAGAATACGGGTGAAGGAAGAGGGTGGGAAGGGCATTAATAATACAGGGAAAGAAGCCTGGAAAACTGTCCCTGATCCTTAGATCTCAAAGGTTACAACCCCCTAGGGACTGCGTTATTTTAGTCCATGGTTATTTTATAGCTAATTCCATGGCTATATCCAGGCAAGTTACTTTAGGCGTCCACACTAACATTGCCTCTCCTGTTACAAAACAGGAACCACATTCTGTATGGACCTCTGGGCTCTTTATTCTCTGATATGAAAGGACACTGCTTTACAATCTTATTATTCATTCTCTGATATAATTGTGTAGCTCCACCCATCATTTGTCTTAAAGGACCAGGTAACTGACTTTCAACTCCAGGTTTTATTGGACTTGGGGCAGTTGACAGTTTGTTAACTTTGAAAGACAATGAGACTTCTCTAAAAGCAAGCTGTTTGAAATGTTAGTTCATGTGACTGTTCTAATTATTTTCAGAGAGGTGGGGGGCTGCATTCACATTCCTGATGCCCCCCCCTATCAAAAGCACAGGCTGAACAGGAATCCCAAGACTGGTCTTGCTCCCCTCCCCAACCCACCCCTAAGGGAAATAAATTCTCACCTGAATTGGATTCCTTAGTAGATTGAGAACACGAAGGATAGGAAGATGTTCAATGTATTCTATTTCACTCAACTCCTCAATCTGTTTGATCAAAAATAAATCCATTATCAATAGCCAGCCAGGAAAGACAATAGGGAACACAATATAATAGGAGTCAATTATATTGACTCCTTCACATCTAATTTATTTCATACGTGTCCCGTTGAATATCCAGCTTCTCAATGAGAATGCTCCAAAGCCATTGCAGAACACTGGAAATACTGTGTAACTTCAGTAGGTGTGAACATGCAGGGCCCCATTTCCTCCTGTCTCCTTGGGCTGGAGAATAGTAATCTCCCTCCCATCCATGCTGATTTTAAGTAGAACTAGCATGGAAAGTGAGAGAAACAGAACAGCCACCTCATTCCAGCCCTCCAGGCCCTGACTTTACTCCCAAACCAGCTTATCCTCCCTGCTGTGTCTGTGACTGGCTAAGCCTTCTTACTGTAGTACATCTGTAACTCTATGCCATTTCCATAAGAGATTCTTTACAGCAGAAATTTTGTAATTTGTTTGTTTGCTTTGAGACATGGTCTCTGTGTAACCCTTGCTGGCCTTGAACCATTATGTAGTGATATATAATTTATGATTTATTAAAGCTTGCCTGAGGACTCAGAAAGTGAAGTCATTCACAAGCTATAGAAGCCAGGCACACACCTTTAACCCCAGCAGCCAGAAGCTAGGAGGTGGTGGCACACACCTTTAATTCTAGGACTCAGGATTAAGAGGTAGACGGATCTCTGTGAGTTCAAGGCCACCCAGATCTACACAAGATTGATCTAGTCATGAAGAGAAACAGATCACACAAAGATGATCTCAGCACCTGGGAACACACGCCTTTAACCCCAGCACTAGGGAGGAATATAAGACAGGAGCAAGGTCTCAGCATTAGGCATTCATTCTCCAACTACACTGAGGACAGGCACATCGAGAATAGGAACACCGCAGCCCTGTTAGAGGTGAGAGCTCTCTGGTGGCTTGGCTGCTTTGCTTCCCTGGTCTTCAGCTTGAACCCCAATCTCTCTCTCTCTGGGTCATTTATTTTTTGTACAACCGCATTATGTAGACCAGCCTGACCTTGAACTCACAGAGATCCTCCTGACTCTGTCTCTCATGCACTGGAATTGAAGGCATGTACCATCCCTCCCCACCCGGCCCTGACTGTAGGACCTATTTGTGATGAGCGTCCACTGATGAACCTGCTGACTAAGAACTTCTGTGTGTAGGTTCTAGTTTACAATCTGAAAAGCTGGAAATGATTCTCCAGGTGGAAGTGTGACTTGATTTAGCACACTTGGGTTACAGCAGTCTTCCATCTCTGTCATACTAATGACAAATGTAGGCTTACTTAAATTTTCTACAATAGACAATTACCATCTTATGCAGGTACAGATAGTGGACTTTGTAATAAGTTAGTATTTCTCACAGCATTCTGCATATCTCATAAAAAGCATTATTACCAACACATTCACAGATAATTTCTGAGTTATCCAAACACAAGTGACAACAAAATGCAAATTAGTCCAAAACTAAATCAGGGGTGGTAAGACACACATATCACATTCATAGGATGCCATATCTAATTACGTAATCAGAAAGGCAAACTCCAAAGTTGCAACATACAGTGCCTCCCCCCAAATTAATCTAGCTAGAGAAGTAGCAAGCTACTGTATTAGCTTTATTCAAAAATAAGATAATGAAATTATCCTTTAGACTGACATGTGAGCCATCTATAAGAAAAATAAATCAGTTGCTCTTACATTGACTTTTTTCAGGAAGGTACACTTGGTTTGTATTTTTCCATTAGAGTATCTGAGCAACGGGCTTTATTTCTGTCTAGCACACAGCCCGTTCTTGCGCTTAACACAAACATTAAGAGGGAGCTTATTCCTGCATGCATCATGTCTCACAGGCAAGGCCTAGCCCTATACACCTGCAGACACTGCTGGTCAGAGTGGAAAGCATACCTTCTTTCCAACAGCAATCTGATGAGTTACATGGTCCAGCCATCCCACTCCAGGGGACTTGTACTACAGAGATCATCAGACAGGCAAAAATCACTTATAAGACTATTCAGTCTAACTCTGGTAGTGAAAACATTTCTAATTTCCTAAGAATTGTATCCATCACTATGTGATTAAATGAGTCCTAACGTTGTCCTATAGTCAGAACTCTGTGTACTCATTTTAGAAGATAGTAATCCGTGTGGTAATTGACACAGAAAGATACTGATATGCCCCAAATGCCATGACTAGAATAATCACGTACTATGTAAGGTTACCAACAAGATGTCATGAGATCAGCATGTCTTTGTGAATCAAACACAGAGGATGTAGCACCCTCCTCGCTCCTTCCAAGGGGAGGGTGAGGGCAGAAATAGGAGACCAGCATGAGGCAGGCTTCCTGTCAAGCTAGTAACATGCAATACTGCTGGTTGTTCTGAATGCGTGCCCCCTCGAAGTCATGCTCACAGCTCTCCACAGGGCCACAGACCCAAGACTGTGTGTGCAGCAGCCCTCTACAGCAAGTGTAGGAATCATAGCACCCCAAATCACCAAAAGTTAAGTATCAACAAAAAGGTTACACTTGTCAAAACTTCACCCCACTAATATACTTGGACCCTGGTAGTCACCCTCTAACCCTGAGAAGTCTGATAATTTTTTTTCTGTTTTTGCCATTTGTTTCTTGGCCATGCTCTCTAAGCATCATCACTATGTAGGGTTTAAAAAGTGATAATATGCAGTGTGTGTGTGTGTGTGTGTGTGTGTGTGTGTGTGTGTGTGTGTGAGAGAGAGAGAGAGAGAGAGAGAGAGAGAGAGAGAGAGAGAGAGAGAGAGAGAGAGAGCAAGTGGGAACTCATGGATCCCAGACTAATAGCTGAAGCCAGCACAGACCTAGGCACCCTGGCAGTAGGTGTCAATTAGGAGGCCTAAGCAATCTATGGGGCCTCTGGTAGTGGATCAGTATTTATCCCTCCTATACAAACGGATTTTGGGAACCCATTCCACATAGAGGGATGCTCTCTCTGCGTGGACACACAGGGTGGGGAGGGGAAGAGGGGAGGGAGAGTAAACTGGGCCTGACATGTGGAACAGGCTTGTTTCTAGTTTAAACGAAAAAATCTGAGAAAAAAAAAAACTGTGATACCACTAGTGATGCTCAAAAAAGAAAATAAAGAATTTGTGCAGGAAAGTAACATTTTCAATCTGGGAGATGGATGATATAAAGGATGATGATAAAGATAAATGTATTACTGAAATAGAAATTGACAGGTGAAGCAATGAGGCATAAATTTAAACCTTTCTAAACCAAAGTATGAATTAAGAGGTGAAGATATCACTCCCTCCCCCACAGTTTACCCAAGAGATCCTCCTAGGGTGATCTATGTGTCTCTCTTAGGGTCTTCTTTGTTACTTAGCTTCACTGGAACTGTGGGTTGTAATCTGGTTATCCTTTGCCTTACATCTAATATCCACTTATGAGTGAATACATACCATGTTTATCTTTCTGAGTATGGTTGTGTTTTTCTAGTTCCTTCCATTTGCCTGCAAATTTCATGCCATTGTTTCCTACAACTGACTTCATTGTGTAGATGTACCACATTTTCTTTATCCATTCTTCAGTAGAGGGGAATCTAGCTGAGCAAACGCCCTCGTGGTATGATTGAGCTTCCTTTTGGGTATATGCCCAAGAGTGCTACTGCTGGGTCTTGAGGTAAATTGACTCTCAATTTTCTGAGAAACAGCCATACTTATTTCCAAAGTGGTTGTATAAATTTGTACTCTCACCAGCGGTGGAGGTGTGTGGGGAGGGGGATGAGAACATGAGGGAACAGGATGGCGGGGGGTGGGGATGGTGTGGAAGAGCAATGAAAGAGATATCTTAATAGTGAGAGCCACTATGGGGTTTGGAAGAAAACTGGTGCTAGGGTAATTACTAAGAATCCACAAGGATGATTCCAGTAAAGACTCCTAGCAACAGTAGAGAGAATGTCCGAACTGACGTACCCTGGTAATCAGATTGATGAATACTCCAAGTATCATCATAGAGCCTTCATCCAGTAATTGATGGAACCAGATGCAAAAATCCACAACCAAGTACCAGGCAGAGCTCTGGGAATGCGGTCAATGAGAAGGAGGAGGGATTGCATGAATAAAGGAGGTAAAGATCATGATGGAGAAATCTACGGAGACAGCCGAATCAAGCTCGTGGAAACTTAAGAACTCTAGACAGACAGCCATGGAAACTCCAGGGGACTGAACTAGGTCCTCCATGTGTGGGAGACAGTTGTGAAGCTTGGACTATCTGAGGGGCCCTGGCAGTGTATGCACTAGCTTGTTGGAACCATTCCCTATGGTGGTATGCCATGCTCAGCCCTAATGCATGGGAGAGGGACTTTTTCCTGCCCCAACTTAATGTGCCAGGTTTTGTTGACTCCTCTTGGGAGGTGTGGCCGGGGGTGGGGGTGGGATAGGAGGAATCAGGGGGGTTGGAGGAGGGGTGGAAGGGAGGATTATGGTTGGAATATAAAATGAAATTTAAAAAGATAAATAAATTATATTAAAAAAGAATTGAAGGTAGTTAAGTATGCTGACACATGACTTTAATCCCAGCCCTCAGAAGCAAGAGGCAGACAGATCTCAGTAATTTCAAGGCCAGCTTGGTCTACATGGTGAGTTTCAGGCCACCTAGTGCTGTCTAGTGAGAACCTATCTCAAAACAAAAACTACAGTGAAGGAGCTGGAGAGACGCCTCAATGATTAAGAACACTGGCTGCTCTTCCAGGAAAGCAGGATTCAATTCCCAGCACCCACATGGCAGCTCAAGGGAATATTTCCAATCCCAGTGGATCTGACTCCCTCTTCTGGTCTCAGTGGTGTGGCACGCATACGGTGCACATACATACGTGGACGCAAAACATCCACATACACAAAAACAAACAGATACCCAAAAAGATGAGAGTGGGTTATGAAAGCCACCACTTTTATAATAGTTTAAAAAAATAGTGAAGAAGAAAAAAAGAGTAAAAAAAAGCCACCACA